GTTCTTAATAGTGGCAAATAGCATTGCAATATTGTTGCTACATTAAGATGAATTGTTTTGCTGAGCCCCCTCAACAGAATTTTTTTCCTCATTTTCTTTTCTCTCCTTTGTTTCTTTCAGTCTAACTCACTATGTAGCACAAACTGACCTTTAACTTGAAATTCTCCTGACTCACCTCCCACATGCTAGGATTACATTTGTGTTTCACCATGACCAGCTCTTTTCATTTTTTTCCTGTTACAAAGTATATTAAGTTCAACCTCAAACCATACACAGAAATTTAAAGCCATACTATATAAATCTATAGCTTTGGACTAGGCAGTAGTTTCCTTAAATTCGTCACTTAAAGTACAAACAGCAAGATCAAAATGGAGGCACACACAATTTGCCACTCTTAAGAACTTTTGACCTTAAAAGTAAAAAGGAAATCTAAATAATATCAAAAAGTGATTTTCAAAATTATGTATTAATTATATATGTAGTTATATATAATTATTTTTGGAGACTATTATTAGATGAACTCAAGTTCTAAATGTTCATTATTTAGAAGCATATAATGAATGGGCAAAACTTTTTATCCTTGATGACAAATTGTATATGAACAATGCTAGAAGAGAGGCCTTGGGATGCAGCCTCAGCACATCTGTAAAACACTTCTGTCCTGTCTTAGTCAAGAGAGCAAAGGAATCTGTATGAAGTATTCCTAAGCTAAATACCACTATAATGTTGTGCTCTGTTGTCTTTCATACTGAATTTGTTGTTGATAAAGTTAATGCTTATGAAAGAAATCATTTTTTTATATTTTTTTTGTTTTTATTTATTTTTTACATTCCAATCCCAGTTCCACCTCCCTCCTGCACCTCTCTCTCCACCCCCTCCCCCAGGTCCCATCTGCTCCTTGGAGAGAGTAAGGCCTCCCCTATGAAGCCTAAGTCTGTCCCATCATCACCTTGAGGCAGGACCAACCTCCCACTACCGTGAAGAAAACATTTTAATATGCCTAGTCATTTATTTCCATTTTTTTTTTTTTTAGTTTGGGATATTCTTTTACAATGTAAAGTTTAGTGACATGACTATCCTCATTATCTAATTCAAAATTTATTTCATCATCCCAAATTGTCTTGGGTTAGGATTTCAATTGCTATGAAAAGACAACCTGATCAGACAACTCTTATAAAGGAAAACATTTAATTGTGGTGGCTTACAGTTCAGTGGTTTAGTCATTAACATCATGGCTGAACATTGAGGTGTGCGGGCAGATATGGTGCTGGAGCTAAGAATCCCACATCTTGATAGGCAACAGTATGTGAACTGAGGCACTGGGTGTTTCTTGACCACATGTGAGACCTCAAGGCCCGCCTTCACAGTGACACTCTTCCTCCAACAAGACCACCTCCTAATGATGCCACCTCCTTTGAGGGCTATTTTCTTTCAAACCACCACACAAATTGAAGCCCTCCTCCCCCTACATTTCCTCAGCCCAAAATAACCAGTGATCTATTTTCTTTCTTTATGGATTTGCCTATTCTGTACATTTTATATAAATAGGATGAAACTAGTCTTCTGTGACTTGTTTATCTGGGTTGTAGCACTTGTCAATACAACATTCCTTTCTAAAAATCTTTTTAGATTTATTATTTTATGTGTATGAATGTTTGCCTGCATGTATGTATGTGTTCTTTGTGTATGCCTGATAGCCATAAAGGGCAGAAGAGGGCTTTAGATTTTTCTGGAACTGGAGCTATAGACAGTTTCAAACAGTTATGTGGGTGCTAGGACTCAAACCTGGGTCTTGCAAGAGCAACAGTACTCTTAACCACTGAGTCAACTCTATAGCCCCCTGACCTTTTTTATTACCAAGCAGTATTCACTGTTGTCTGGATTCTCTTGTGTGAAATACCCACCATGGTTAATATATTTTCTTAGCCATACTTAGCAGTAGAATTGCAGGGTTATGTTGTTGCTGTTCCAGTCTGTCCACATTGTTACCAGTACTATATTTTCATTGCTGTTGCAACCATCTCAGTAGATGTGAACTGGTATCTTACTGTTGATTTTTGACTTTCATTCTATAGTACTAAGAGTATATAGGGGATCTTTCACTGTGCTTATTGGCCACTTTTATATTTTGTTCAAGGACATCCGCCCCCATCCTATGTATGTCTTGTGTGATGCAGTCCTGGGAATTGAACCTAGTAACCTAGTATGTGGTAGGTACATGATATACCACTAGGCTATGCTATGTGTGGATTCTCATATGTGATTTGCAAGAATTTCTCCGATTTATATGGATTATCTTTTCTTGTTGGTGTTAGTGTCTTTGGGACATAGATGTTTTTCATTGGAGGCTGGGAAGATGGCTAGTCAGTAAAGTGCTTGCTGGATGTGTGATATGAGTTTGTAATTTCAGCCTTGGAGAGGCCAGCCAGTCTAGCCTACCTGGTGAGCTCTAGGTCAGTGAGAGACTTAACTTAAACATAAGTCAATGGCACTAGAGGAACAACACTTGAGACTGTTCTCTGTCCTCTACAAATACATGCACACAAGTTTTTAATTTTGAAAATGGGCAGTTTATCAGATTCTTTTGCTGTTATTTATGCTCTCGGTGACATCCAAAAACCATCACTTAAATCCAAGATCACAAAGTTATACCTGTTTTCTTGCAAGAGTTTTAATGTTTTAACTCTTGTATTTCGATCTTTAATCCATTTTGAGTTTATTAGTTTATTTATTTTTGGTTTTTTGAGGCAGGGTTTCTCTTTGTAGCAGTTCTGGCTATCCTGGAACTCAACTTTGTAGATCAGACTGGCTTCAAACTCATAGAGATCTACCTGCTTCTGCTTCTTGAGTGCTGGGATTAAAGTCATGAGCTGAGTTGTTTTATTAAATGTATAGCTGTTTCACTTTAGGACATTTAGATTAGCAACTTATTACTTCTATATATTTGTGGAATACATGGTAACACTGTACATTTTTAATAGAATGTAGACTATTAAGTCAAGCTACTTAACATCCAGTGCTTAAAATATTTTGTGAGAACACCTGAAATATATTCTTAGCACTTTTGAGGTGTGTAAAACACTCATTAACCTTGTTCACCACACTGTGCAGTAGATCTCAAACAATACCCAAGAAAATTGCATGAGCATTTGTAACCCTTGACACTGTCTTCCTGTTTTCATCATTCTTCTGTGTTTTCAATTGTTTGAGGACAATGTGGTTATCTGTGTTTGACATGTTTCATTTAGCATAGTGTTCCATCCATGTTGTCACAGCTGACATTGTTAAATATTCCATTGTGTATGTATAACCATATTTTCTTTTTTATATACCATTTAAAATATTTTTATTTTATATGTATGAGTGTTTGCCTGTGTTATATATGTGTACCATGTATGTGCAATACCCAAGGAGGCCAGAAAATGATGTCAGATTCTCTGGAACTGGAGTTAAGGTTGACTGTGAGCTGCCATATGGGTGCTGAGAAACACCCATATGGCACACAAGTTTTTAATTTTGAAAATGGGCAGTTTATCAGTTATTATTTAGTTTATCTTGTGGGTCCTCCACAAGAGCAGCTAGTGCTTTTAACTGCTGAGCCATCTCTTGACTCCTAACTGTATTTTCTTTATCCATTCATTGGTTAATGACACTTGGGTGATCCCATAACTCCTTTGTCTTGAATGCTACACTGAAATGCAAACATTTCTTCCATAAACTGATTTCAGCTTTGTAGCTAAATACCAGAAGTGAGAGTGGTGGATCCCACATTACTTTCATTATGTAGGTTTTAGTAATCAAATGTAGAGGTTTGAGTCCTACATCTTCATTTCCTTTTTCAGGATTATTTTGTTCTGGGTTTCTTGCATTTCACATGAATTTTAGGATCAGCAGATCAATTTATGGAGCGGAAAAGAGCACCTGGGATTTCAGCCAGGAAGACATTGAATCTGTCAGTTTAGGGAGCTGTGCCTACTAGCATTGTTTTCTGGTCTTTCTACTTAAGCTGACTTCATTCTTTCAGTGGTATTTTCTGGGGATTATTTGCTGATTTGTTTCTTTTCTTTTTTTCTTTTTTCTTTTTTGGACAAGTTCTTACTCTGTGGTCAAGCCAAAGGTATATAGAATTTTTGTATCTCTTGTTTGCTTCAAACTTTCTCTTGCCTCAAGTTTCTGGGATTACATGTGTGAGCCATCATGCCTGGCCTGTTTATACTTACTTTGTTAAATTTACTTCCACATTTTGTTCTTTTTTACGTTATCAGTGCTATTATTTCCTTAATTTTGTTTTCAGATTGCTTATGGCCAATTATAGAAATACAGTTGTCTTGTACCTTCAACTTTGGAACTATGACCAGTTGTAAGGGAATTTTTGTGGATTCTGTAAGATTTCATGTAAGAACATGCATAAGAGATGACTGATACATTCTACTTCCCCCTTTTTTTTCCTTTCTTCCCCTTTTACTGTTTATTTCTCCTCCTTTTAGTTTTCATCTCTCTACCTTGTTTCTCTGCTAGCAGTTCCAGTACATTTATACAGTGATGAAAACATACCTGATCTTGTTTCTCATCTTTGGGGATACCTTTGTCCTCTGTCCTTTAGCAGAATGAGTGATCTCCTTATTTCTAATTAGTTGTATTTTCTTATAAATCACAAAAAAGTGTTGGATTTTGTCAAATGCTTTCTCTCTGTTCTGTCCATTAAAGTGATCTTGCAGCTTTTGCTGTATTGATTTTCAAGCACTGAAATAGCCTTGTGCTCCTTGGGTAAGCTGCACTTAGACATGCTACTGGATTCAGTTTGCTTTCTTTCATTGAGTTTTTATATCTATATGAGTATGATAATTTTCATTACATCTTTAGTTTTGGTGTTGAGCAATATTGACCTCACAAAATAAATGAGGGAAAGATAATTTTAGGGGAGGGGGATTTGCCACCTTTGTCTGGTGTTGGTCCATGATACACTTTTAATTCAGGAAAATACTATCTTCTCACTTCAGGTACCCAGGTGACCACTCAGCACGTTGATCCTCACCTTTGGTAGGTATCCTTGTGTTAGTGGTTAACTTTGCCCAATTCTGTTATGCCTGGGTCTAGAAGGTTGTCAAGACCCTTCCATAAGTGCTGCTTCCAATAATTTTCAGGGCCATGCTGGCTCTGCCATCCATGCCTTGTAGTGTTGTGAAAGACTTTCTATTAAAAGTCATCACAGAGGAGAGTTTTATAGCTGGTTTTGGAAACAGTGGAAAAATTCAAAGAGCATCTCTTTTAAAAAAAAGTTATTTTGATAGTATTTCTTTTTTTTCTTTTTTAAAGGTCATGAAAAGCAGAACTGATAGGTTTGTCCCTGTGTTTTCAACATCTGAAGCAGCTATTTTAAGATGGTGTTTTCTTGGGATCATAATGGGCAGTATCTCACTATTTCCTTTGTTGGCCTGTGTTGACACCTCAAAATTCAAGTTTGTCACTCAAGGCCACACACAGCAAGAGCAAGAGGCATGCTGGTGCTGGACATGGTAGTGCATACTTGTAATCCTGGTACTTGGGAAGTATAGGCAGGAGGGTCAGTAGTTCAATAGTTCAAGGCCAGCATGAAGACCTGACCCTGCCTTTAAAAAAGAAAGAAACATGTAGTCCTTAGGAAATCACTTCCTAAGCTCCATGCTCTCATTCATAGGTACCACGTACACAGACTTCTCGGCCGGAATCTCCAGGGATGACCAGCCCCTCCCCGCGCATCCAGATAATTTCCACCGACTCTGCGGTAGCCTCACCTCAGCGAATTCAGGTACTCAAGTCAGTTTCACTGAATTTCTTCATTCTGTTCAAAAGCAAACCTGCCTAAGAGTTTCACTACAGAGTATATATACCTCTTCACATCAGTGTGAGCTCATTTATTTAGAAAGCAACAGTTAAAAGCTTATATTCATATGTTACCTTTAAAGCAAAAGTTTGAACTGTTGTTTCAAACTACTAGATGATGTACCATTTTATTATTTACTTGTTTCCAAATTGAGAGGCAATATATATCCTATTAGAATCAGGGACCCCTGCTTGTAGTCTCATCTAATGCCCCAACTTATTAGGTTTTTCAGTTGGGGCAATGACAATTTTAATGCTTCACTTTTTTTATTTGGAAAATATATATAATAGTAGATTTTGCTCCAGGATTTTGTGAGGAATCAATAGGTATAATGTTTTTAAAAGGTGTCTTGTACATACTTGTTCAGTATGTATTATTTATACATAGGAACTATTATTATTACTACTAGTAGTAGTATTGTGAACTGTTACTTAAGCAGGGACAGGGCTGTGAATCTGCCCTTAACTCACTACTCTTGAACCAAAAGACTTTGGAAATTGTGGCAAGAAACTGGGAGGAAGGGATAATGCATTGATGTTTGATTTCCCAGCTGAATCAGAACATATGAACAAAGATAACAACTGAAAAAACACCTGTTACAGGAGTGTGAAAAATAGCATGGTTGGGACAAGAGGATGCCTCAGCAAGTAAAAGCATCTGCCAAGGGACCATGGGTGACTTGAGCTCAATCCTAGAACAAACACTGGGGGGAGGGGAGGGGAGAACAGACTCCAAAAAGTTGTCCTCAGATCTCTACAGGGCACCATGGCATGGGTGTACCTTCATTCATATACATATCACATGCACTCATGTGCTCGCTTAAACACACACGTACAAACTCACAATGATAATACAATTTTTTAAAAAAGATTTGTTTTTTAAAAGCAAAATAATTTCTGCATTTTTAACATTAATGCAGATAGCCTCAGGGGCATCCTCATTGCTATCATGCTTTGTCAGTGAACATTGCTTCTCTTGGAACCTGGAAAGAGAATGAATTTTTAATATTTTAGTATATGACAACAATGCTTAGAACCTAAATAGTGACTCCTCTGGAAAGGCTAGGAGGGACAGATGTCAGCCTAGACAATGTTTAGCCTGAATTAACAGACTTAAGATCCAGTCTTGTGACCAGTCAGCTATATGACCTAGGGAGAGTTTCTAAAACCTTTTGTTTCTGTATAGTGTCACTACAGATAGTGCTGGTGTTATATAAGTGCTGAAGGATAAAGTGTGGTAAGGCATGCAGCTCAGCAAATGAGCACCAGAAAATGCTAGCAGCTGTGCTATAGAAGGTTTTGTTTTGTTTTTGTATTTGTGTTTTGCAAATGGGCTCTCCTGTAGCTCAGACTAACTTAAGCTTGTTGTGTTGCTGAGGTTGGCCTTGAACTCCTGATTCTCCTGCTTCCGCATCCCTAGTACTGGAATTACAGGCTGGTGCTAACACACCTAGATGTGTACTATAGCTTTTAATGTCCTATTTTATTTGCTTCAAATTTACAGAAAATAGTAAATACAATTCTGTTATAACCTTTACTCTGATTCACTGTTTGCCATCCAATTGTGAATGTATGTTCTCTGTAATATTTCTGATTGATTTGATCACAAACTACAGGCCTCATTCCTTTGCACTGGATTTCTCAAGAATGAGCACCATCTTTTACATAATAATAATTATGTAAAGAAATATTAATACTGAAACATGGCATTGTAGGATCCTCATAATCCTCATTCCACAGCTTCCACAGTTTTTTGTTGTTGGGTTTTGTTTGTTTGTTTAGGTTTTGGTTTTTAAGACAGGGTTTTTCAGTAGCTATGGACAAAGTTGTTTTTTTTTTTTTTTAAAGATTTTATTTATTTATTATGTATACAGTCTTCTGCCTGCATGCCAGCAGAGGGCACCAGATCTCATTCAGGGTGGTTGTGAGCCACCTTGTGGTTGCTGGGAATTGAACTCAGGACCTCTGGAAGAACAGTCAGTGCTCTTAACCGCTGAACCATCTCTCCAGCCCACAAAGTTGTTTTTTATCTTCCTTCCTTCCTTCCTTCCTTCCTTCCTTCCTTCCTTCCTTCCTTCCTTCTGTTGAAATTCATTATTGTTTACAATAATAGTAATTAGGTGCCAAGCAACACAAAACACCATCCCTTGTCATGTAGGTTAGTACATGTCATCAGAAGCATTGCTGGTGTTCTTTGTATTGTTTTAAGGAGGAGGAGGAACACAGTCCCTCAGTGGAGGAACAGTTTGGGCTGATAGCTGCTGCTTTGGGGATAAAAATGTAGGGAGGAGCTGGGGAGATGGTGGAGGTCACAGGTTTACTTTTAATACAGCTTTTTTGTTGTTGTTGTTGTTGTTGTTGTTGTTGTTGTTTTCGAGACAGGGTTTCTCTGTGTAGTTTTGGAGCCTATCCTGGCACTCGCTCTGGAGACCAGGCTGGCCTCGAACTCACTGACATCCGCCTGCCTCTGCCTCCCGAGTGCTGGGATTAAAGGCATGTGCCACCAACGACCAGCTCTAATCCAATATCTAATCTAATAAAAGAAAAGTTAAAAGGGAAAAAGGATTGCATATTGTTCATTTTGGAGATGATTGTGAGATTTTCTGCCTTGTTAATTCTTCAGTGGTGAGAATTTTCTGTGTTTTGAAGTTCTCCTAGGATGGTCCTCCATCTCCCCTTTTTTCAGTTGACACTTTTCAGGAAAGTATTATTATAATCACCGATCAACTTTACTTAAGTGCTTTTTTTCTAAAGTACATTTACATATAGCACTCAACTATATCATATGGAGATTCATTTACAATTTTCTTAGAAATGACTTTGTGTGGTTACATTTTTTTTTTTTTGAAAGTTTGAACTCTTCTTGCAATCCCTAGGAGAAAGCTTCTGGAACTTTTACAAGCTTTCTATATCTGCTTCCCACTTTCTGCTGTTTCTTTCTTACTCTGATACTCCAGTGGCTTTTCTTAGCTACCCAGAAGAGTTGTTGCTTGCTTGTGGGGTTTGGATAGGTAATATGTACATACTGTACCAAAGTCCCATCATTCAAGGCAATAGGTTTCTCTCAGTAGATCTTTTTTTCTTTTCTATTTTTTTTTTTTTGGCCTCAAACTCACTGTGTAGCTGAGTATCCTTGAATATCCATGTGCCCCCTGAATAATGGAATTACAGATGTGTGCCACCACACCTATTTTTTTTTTTTTTTTATGGTGCTTGAAGATCAAATTTAGGACCATGGACATGTCAGCCAAGCACTCTATTAACCCAAAAGATCTCTAGCCCTTCCTTTTCTTTCTTTAAAAAATTGTTTAAGGAATTTTGTTTTTAATTTTATAATATAATTTGAGATGAGATAAAATCTGGAACTTCCAATTTTGGCTAGTCTAGCTGGCCAGTAAGCCTTTGGATCTGCTGTGGTTACAGGTATTCCTTGCTGTGTCCAGATTTTATGTGGGTATTTGGGATTTCACTGACCGAGCCATCTTCTCAGTCCCTCTTACTCTTTGAGAGAAGGCTCAACATTTCATGTGTGTTTTTCCCCACCCCACCCCCTTTTAAAGGTAGTTCCATATTGTGTTATTTTTCTTGCTTGTGATAGAACACACTGTGACCAAAAGCAACTTGGAGAGGAAATGGGTTTAGACTTACACTTCCATTACAATCCATATTGAAGGAAGTCAGAGCAGGAAACTGGAGGCAAGAACTGAAGCAGTGATGAAGGAGGGATACTTCTTACTAGCTTGCTCCTCATAACTTGCCCCACGGCTTTCCTGTACAGCCCAGGACCACCTGCCCAGAGATAGCTGGGCCCCTCACATCAGTCATTCATTAAGAAAATGGTCCATATACTTGCTTACTGGCCAATCTTACAGAGATATTTTCTCAAGATTTCATTCTCCCTTCTTGCTAGATAAGTCTAGGTTTGTGTTAAGTTGACAGAAAACCAACTGGAACATATACAGTGCAAAACAGATGCACCTATTTCTGTTGAGTGACTACTTGACATCCCATTTTTGTTACACTGACCTTAGAGAAAGGCATACTGATTTATGTTCCCACCAATCCAGCCTGGAAACATCTGTTTCCCCATACTTAATATCATGTTGTTAAATGTCAGTTTGCTAAATGATCTGGTAATACTGTGTAACTTTTATACTTTTATATAAATATACATAATAAACAAAACTATTGTTTTTGTGTATATTTTCAGTTTTTTTGTTTTGTTTTGCTTTTGTTTTTCAGGACAGGTGTTTTTATAGACCAGGCTGGCCTTGAACTCAGAGATCTGCCTGCCTCTGTGGTAATACCTTGTTTGTATAAATAAAGCCTGTCTGAAGGTGAGAGAATGGACCTTGCCACTAGCTAACCAGTACAGTCTGGAGGTCTGTACAGACAGACAGGAAGTAAGGTAGCTGGGCAGAAACAGGAACTTGCTCTCTTGCCTGCTGAGACTCTAAGGAGGTAAGGTATGGCCATGGCTTGCTCCTTCTCTCTGATCTCAGCATTTTTCTCTGTATCTGACCCTGGGTTTTTGTTATGTAGATCAATTAAGAACTCAATTTATGGCCAGAGATGGTGGTGCTAGCTTTTAATCCCAGCGCTTGGGAGGCAGAGGCATATAAATGGAGGTGGTTTTTTTTTGTTTTGTTTTGTTTTGGTTTTGGTTTTTCGAGACAGGGTTTCTCTGTGGCTTTGGAGGCTGTCCTGGAACTAGCTCTTGTAGACCAGGCTGGCCTCGCACTCACAGAGATCCGTCTGCCTCTGCCTCCCGAGTGCTGGGATTAAAGGCGTGCACCACCACCGCCCGTCCCTATTTTCAGGTTTTATGTAACAAAAAAGTACTGTTTTCCCTGTCCTTCCCTATATTCTTACTCTACTTACTTTTCAGTCAACAGACCCTTTGAAAATGATACTTAATTTTGTTGCAGTTATCTTACTATATATGATCCAAATTACTTTTTGCATATATACCCACACATTGTGCATATATATGAAAAGGCTATGCCTTTCATAACTACTGTTGTGAAGTATCTCTGGTCCTTCAGCTGAGCGGAGTTCTCTGCCTGACAGGAGAGACCTATTTAGGAAATGCTGTGGAGACCATCTGTAAAATAAAGAATAATTCTGGTTATTTGTGGTTATTTCTGGTTATTTTCTAATGGAAAATGTTGGGGTTCTACAGAATTATGCTCTGGGGTGTTTGCTTCAACTTTCTGTGTTGGCTCCAGATGAGCAGAAGATGGCTTTAGGTGTTATTATACACCAGTGACTGCCAGACATCTGCTGTGAGCCCCACTTTGCCTCAGGTGTCTTAAGCCTGTGTTTTGATTTCTACTTAAGTTTCATTGAGTTTGAGAACATACTGCATATGCTTTCCACTCTGCAGACTTTTTACAATGTATTTTAAAAGCCAGAATGTAGTTTCTGTTTGTGACTATCCTGTGCAAGTTTGAGAAGGAAGAGGTATTGTGGAGAGGGATTATCATATGAATGCCATTTATATCAAGCTGCTTGTGCTGGTTAGCCCACTAGTTCTTACTAGTTTTTGTGTCCTCTGTAAGGCATTGACATCTCCAACAATAGCTGTGGATTTCTTTATCCCTCCCTCTAGTTCTGTCTGAGATTGCCTTGTTTTGTTTGTTTGATTGTTTTTGGATTTTAGTCCTAGTGGTGTAACCTAGGGTTTTGCACATGCTAACTAATAGCTGAGCTATATCCTCTAACCTATGTATGCCTAATGTATTTTGCTCCTTGTTTGGCACATACGGATTTAGGATTATTACATCTTTCTTTGAGAATTGATTGTCATTATGCAGTGCCTCTTTACAGGGCCTATAGTTTTCTTGTTTTGATGTTTATTTTGTTTGAGATTAATATAGTTACTCCATCTCTGTTTTTTGTTATATAAATCCTATGGATTAAGAATACGACCACTACCACAGTTTAAACCAAATTTGAAGCAATCTTTAATTAAGTACTGGCCTGGTAGATGGGTTCGAATGGCCAGCTCCATACCCAGGTTGCTGAGAAATGGCCCCAAGTCTTTTGCAAGGGCTTAAAAAGGAAGACCACATAATTTATTGCATTTCTCATCAGTTCCAATCAGAGGCAAGCATACATCCTGACTTTTCCCGCCTATGAACCTCCTACCCATATGTGATCAAGCACATCTGGTGCAGATGGGTCAAATAAACTTGTTTAGAGTAATGAAAAACACGTGGCTTGATATCTCTCATAAACAATAACTTAAGATTAATGTCACCCTTATGTATAACTTCTGTGATAATTGCCAGAGGTTTTTCTTTCTGCTTTTAGAGGAAATATTTATGTTATTTCTTTTGCTGCCTATCAAATATATTTATTTTAAAAATGCTTTCAGTTGTTGCCTTAGTGCTTACAATTTACATTTTAATACTTTAAGACTACCTACAAATAATACATAATTGTTAGTGAAATGCATATTATAAAAAATATTTTTAATTGCATTTTAGTAGCATTATGGTATGTTTGCCCTGTTGTGTCATCCCTACCTTATCTGGTTCCACGCAACTGTACTCAAAAAGCGATTTTCTACCCATTTCCCCTTCACCTTCTTCCTTGGAAACCATCAGTTTGAAAAAAAAAAAAAACAAAAAAACAAAACAAAACAAAAAACCACAAAATGTGTGTTGTGCTCAGCTCTTTCACTAATTAAGTTCCCATCACCACTGAATGGGCAGAAGGTCACAGAGAATAGGATCTCTCCTCAGTCCTTTTTACCCCAGTTCTCTTACAAGAACATGGTCATTTGTTTCAGTCAGGTAAATCTGGGCTTGCCTCTTAGTATAAGTTTCCCAAGACTGCAGTACAAGCTTTCCCAAACTTTGTGACTTAACAGAAACAAGTTCTGCCACAGCTCTGGAGGCCAAGCGTGTGAATAAAATTGGGGTGCTGCAGGGTCTAAGGAATCCCCTTAGGTTTGTAGCTGTTTCTCTCCAAGCTTGCTTCTGTTGTCTCATGGTCTTTTGTGAACTCTAGGCAAGGATGGGTGTGACTGTGTTCTGGTTTACTTAATGTTCCTCATAGAGAAAATGGTACGTAAAAGCTAAGTGTGGTATCACACACCTGTAATCCCAGTCCTTGAGAGTCTGAGGGTAAGAATTATGAGTTCAAGGTAGAAGAGGCTCTGGGTCTTTAAGGAATTGGGATGAGGCCTTCCTTCTGAGTCAATGCATTAAACTGTCTTATTATCTTCTCTCCATGTACCGGGCCTCTTCTGGCCCTGACCAGACATCAGTAAAGTTAGATGTGGCGTCTAAGAGATCTCAGAGTTAGAAAGTGGAATAGACTGGAGATGAATCACCATGGTAAGCCAAGTGAATTCTGTCTCCCAACACAAGGTTCCTTAACAGGACCTTCCCATTAAAAGTATAACTTCTTTAAAGCAATCATCTCCAGATTTTTGAAGACTTAAGTCTGCCTTCTTTTTTGACTATGACAGAATATGGGCTCCTTTCTTTCTTTCCTCCCTTCCTTCCCTCATACCTCCCTGTCTCTCTTTCTCTCCCTCTCTCTCTCTTTCTCCCTCCTTCCCTCCCTCCCTCCCTCTCTTTCTTTCTTCCATGTTTAAGTCTATTTTGTTTGTCTTTACAAAGGAGCTTTTAATCCTAGAGTGAAACTAATTTATGAAATAATTTCTGAAAAGCTTACTATGTATTTATCCTGCATCACCATGGAACTTGTGTGTTAGTTACTTATTGTTTTGACAAATGGCAGACAAAGTAAATTTACAAAAAGAAGGGCTTTTATCTTGGTTCAGATTTAGGGTACAGTCATCATAGTAGAAAAGTTATGGAAGCAAAAACGTAAGATAACTGGTCACATGGCATTCATAGTCAGGAAGCAGAACAGACTGATTCCTGGTGCTCAGCTCATTTTCTTCTTATTTTATTCAGTCCAGGGTCCCAGTTCTTGGAATGGCACCACTTACATTCAGGGTCAGTCTTCCCTTCATAGTCAAATCTTTCTGGAAAGACTCCCATAGACACACCTAGAGGTGTGTTTCCATAGTGATTCTAACTCCAGTCAGGTTTATAGTGAAGATAGCCATCACAACTGGTAAACCATCTTCACCTAGCATTGATTATAGAGATCACCTCCTGCAAGTGCAAATACACAGATTTAAAGATATGCTATGCAAAGGGGCCTCCATGTTGTATCTTGTAGATTGTAACTGACCAGCAGACAGGACAGAAGATCCAGATAGTCACCGCAGTGGACGCCTCCGGATCTTCCAAACAGCAGTTCATCCTGACCAGCCCAGATGGAGCTGGAACTGGGAAGGTGATCCTGGCGTCTCCAGAGACATCAAGTGCCAAGCAGCTCATATTCACCACCTCAGACAACCTTGTCCCTGGCAGGATCCAGGTAACACCTGTTGATAGGTGGTTGTTTCCATACTTGATACTTGAACTTTTCAGCTCAGTTTTGACCTGTCTTGGAGGCCATATCTACCCCTTGGAGGGCCTTTAGGGATTTACAAGTATGGTAGGATTGCTGCCTTAGATGACTAAAGTAAAAACCAGTAAATTGAGTGGCCAGAAACCAAGAAAAAGGCACTGGCATAGGCAAGGTGACAGTGAGGGTCAATGGAGACTTATTCTTAAAAGACCACATAGTGGAAACCATTAGCCTAAGATACCTTTAAGGCATCCTCTAGAGCTGACCACTATCGGACAAGAACACCCGCTGTTTCTGCCCTGATACAGAATTTTTACTCCGATGAAGTAAGCCAGTTCAAGCCAAATTGAAAAAGTATAACAACAGGTTTATTGGAGCAGAGCAACTCCCAGGTCAGTTCTCCAATCCCAGAGATCAAGGCTAGAGAAGCAATACCCACAAACGAAAGCAGGGAGACTTTATATTTTGTAGGAGAGGGATGATGACCTGTCCACCGAAAGCTGGGTTTCTGCCCAAGTATGTTCAAAAGCTGAATGTTCGGGCAGGGACTTGGGCTGCTGGCAGCAACAGGGGAGGAAGTTGGCTGTAGTGGCCAAGAATGCAGAATTGGGTGTTTTGGCACCTTTTCTTTCTTGGAGACTTTCTGGGAGGAAGGGGTTTGGAGAGAGAGAGACAGGAATGGGGCTTTCCTGATCATGCAGAACTGAGGTGGAGATTCCAACTGAAAACTTAACCTCTGTCCCATATAGGTGGCCAAAGCCTGGGATGAACTCTTCATTTTGATTACACGTATTTCCAGCTACAAGAGCACTCTTAAATGTTGTACCATCTCTTCAGACTCTTTGTTTAAATTTTTTTATGTGTTTTTATATTTATGGAGCTAGTAAGCATTGTCCGTCTCATCCACCCTCTCTCCAAAGTGTGTTTTGATCCTTTGATATTAAACTATCCAACTTGTTAAAAGCACAGGTTTGTGAAAGACTGACTGCTTATGTCACATTTCACGGGTGATTTTACCTGATTTCTGAATATAGTCCTACCATATGAAATTCATTTGAAGGCTTATTGTGTGTTCAAATTAAGTATATTTTAGAAATAACTGTTCTTTAAACTTTCTCAGGTTGTTATCACTTATTTTTTCTCCTAGATGGATAGCATTGTTTACCTACAAGTGATAGAAAATAGCAGGCTTCTGTGGTCACCTGTACTAGTTCATCTATCACCAGGTGCCTCAACAAGAGATCTAGTCAGGGAAGCCTGGGTATAGCTCTGACAAACACCAGGTTGCACATTTCCATGTTGTTTGATGGGATGAGAAACATAGCTGAAGAACTCAACCTGTCTTTTCCTTATAGAGAATCCATATGTGATCCCTGTGTTGCTTCCAGTCTCGGTGGTGTTTACTGGATAGGAGAACAGTCACTGACATGTACAGGCCAGTAGGGAAGCAGAGTGACCTGAATGAAGCTGTCAGAGTGATCCCAGTTCTGCCCAGAGTGTTCTTTTGTTTAGATATCTAAGACTGAGAATGTACAACTAGATGATATTTATTTAGATGTTAATTGGTGATGTTCATTTGCTGACATTTTAGATTGTCACGGATTCTGCTTCTGTGGAGCGTTTGCTGGGGAAGGCAGACGTCCAGCGGCCCCAGGTGGTGGAGTACTGTGTGGTCTGTGGTGACAAAGCCTCTGGTATGTGACTCCAGCTTCTGACACATATCATGGGGCAACAGCATGAACTTTTTATGGGAAGGGAAGTGGGTAGTTGACAAAGAATGGAACCTCACATAATAAACAAAGTATGTTTGTCAGAGTTTTCAAATTGACAGGATAAGTCAAGAAACTCTGTGATTTGTTTCCAAGTATTTATATGCTATTAAGAAAGTAAAACTTTATTTCATCTTGTTTGTGTCTTCCAAAGTGTATTTTGTGTATAATTCCCCTCATCCAGACCATCTCACTTTTTATCCATTCACTGTACCTTCTGTGTAAGCTTCAATAATGGAGGAGTGGAACCATGTAGTCCCTCCTTGGGAAGGTGTGCACATGTGGTTGTATGCTGAGTAAAGACCCAACATTCTGGGTGTGTTTGTGTGTGTGCATGCACATGCATGAATGTGTTGTGTGTTTGTGCTTGCTCATGCTGAGTGAAGACCTAAGGCTTCCAGAGAATTATTTATGTCTGTGCTTCTGGTGTCCTTCAAGGAGAGCTCAAAGGCTTCCACAGTTAGTATTCTGGTGAAAGGCTTGCTAACACTGGGGAGCTACAGGTGGTAAGTGAGGCAGTGGGGAATGAGAAGCTCAGCTCAGGGAATCTGAGTTCTGAGGCAGCTTTGTTCCACTCACAGGAATTCTGGATTTTTTATTGTCCTGGATTTCATTTTGTCTTAAGCTTGAAATTTCCCCACTAAGGTGGTTGTCCCATTTTTCTGCCACTGGTGCCTGCCTCTGATTCTACCTTTTTTTTTTTGTCTTGGTAAAGCCATCCTACCACTTGAAAACCCTGTCTTCCCTTGGAAAACAGGTAAACAGTGCTGCCACTGATCCTGATTGCCTTTCTCCAGTCCATCTGTTACATTCTCCAATAATTTATAATAACTTTCTCATTGCAGTGTTTGAGTGCTGTGCTTGTTCAACAAGGAAACACACTTTGCAAATTTGGAATGCATGAAGCAGGAACAGAAATGGCTAAAGACTGCCTGGTTTTCCTGTTATCAGGGCTCTCCTGAGCGTCAAGGAAAGGCCTCATCACATAGCCTTATAGTGCCACTGTCTCCAACTACTAGAAGTCACTCAGAGATAGGAAGCTCAAGGAGATATTGCAAAAAGGTCAAGGCAGTATTGACAGGTTTCATTTCACACCACAATGCTTTAAAGGAAAAGGAAAATGAGATTCTCTGAGTAACCTCTGTAGTCAGTATAAACAGTGATGCTATGAAGTGTCTTCCTACAATCAGCTGTAGTTTTTGGCTCTGCAAGCAAGAGGGCTCAGAATGTGCACAGATTGTCTTAGCTGTAAACTTCTGTCGATATACAACAGCTTTATTAGCTAGAAGAGTGAGCTGAGGTGTCATGCACACTGGAGCAGTGTTGCCTGAGCTGCTGTTTGTGTTGGGATGTTTGTGTGCCACGGGCAGTCATATGTATGATGAGCTTTGGATTTCCATTGTGACCTTACAAAGTTATTGTAGAAATATGGACACATGAGGTAGACATTGTTGGGCTTCTATTAACCCGTTGTGGTGGCAGCTTCTGACAAGGATGCACTCCAAGTGGGAATAGGGCTGGGCAGCTCACCTTTGCTTGTGATGAACCAGATCATGTGCTCACTCACTTCCTTCAGGCCGTCACTATGGGGCTGTCAGTTGTGAAGGTTGCAAAGGTTTCTTCAAAAGGAGCGTGAGGAAGAATCTGACCTATAGCTGCCGGAGCAGCCAAGACTGCATCATCAACAAACATCACCGAAATCGCTGCCAGTTCTGCAGGCTGAAGAAGTGCCTGGAGATGGGCATGAAAATGGAATGTGAGTAGCAGGGCCCCACCATGATAGCATATGCCTGCCAAGCAAGGTGTTTACATTTGCCTTTAAATGAAAAGGGAAAATACTCAAGCTTCACTATGTTTTACCTTCTGGGACAGCCAGGTGATCCAGAGCTGATGCTGCTGGATTTGTCAGTTTCCATGTTAAGTATTAAAGCCCCTTATCTAGATGAATTAGAAAACAGGGCAAGAGGAACTGAGGGTGGGTAACACCAGCTTTAGAGAAAAGCTGAGACCAAGTCATTCCAGCTCTGCTACCAAAGAGCTACCAGAAACATGGTGCCTCTCTGTAGTTCAATGTTTTTCTCTGTCCTGTTTGCCCCCCCCCAATCCACTTTCTCTCCTGCTCATAGGTCCCCCACAGCCACTTATGAAATAGTCACTCAGAGGCTAATATTAAATACAATTGTTTGGCCAATGGCTCAGGCTTATTACTGGCTAGTTGTCTTATAAATTAATCCATTTTAATAATCTGTGTATCAGCACGTAGCTGTGGCTTATCAGTAATGTTCTGACATCTTTACCCCTTGGCGGCTACGTGGTGTCTCCCTGATTGCACCTTCTTTCTCTCAGTAACTGTTTGGCTCTCCCACCTACCTATATTCTGTCTGGCCATTGGTCAAAACAGCTTTATTCATCAACCAATAAAAGCAATACACAGCATACAGGACATTCCTTATCACCTCTCTCAATTCTGGGCCTCATCTGTGACCAGCCAGCACTCCTTCCTTTGCTACAATCTTTGCATTCTAAAGAAGGTCCTGAAGTGGGAGTAACCACAGAAGGACTGAAACCCTCCTCTCAGTTCCTATAGCCATACTTTTAAGGGTTCAGGTATTCCTAATCCTATCCCACATCCACAAGGACCAGTCACCAGTCAATTCTTGATGGTGGAATCATAAGAATCAGGTCCCAAAGTAAGCAACACAAAGAAGTCAAGGAGAGCAGTGCTGTGTTAAGAGTACAGCAGGGCTGGGCAGTGGTGACACATACCTTTAATCTCAGCACTTGGGAGGCAGAGGCTGGTGGATCCCAGTGCGTTTGAGGCCAGCCTGGTCTACAAAGTGAGTTCCAAGACAGCCAGAACTGTTAAACAGAGAAACCCTGTCTCGAAACCAGCCCCCCCCCCCCCAAGAAAAAAAAGTACAGCAGGATGTAGAGGAACAGAGTTAGTGCCACACCATGCTCGAAATGCCTCATGGCTCCTGGGGAGATTAGAGCCAATGGATTTTAGTTTTGTTTCCTATTGTAGGAATGGAACAATGCAAAATCCACAGGGGAATAAGAAGTATGTTTATAACCTGTTTACCATAGTAAATACAGTACATAATGACTAGCTTAGTGTGGGGTTTCCCTGTCATATTGTCAGGCTGTCCTTAGTTGTAAGCAGTGATAGGACTAAAGTGGGGTAATCTCAGGCATAGATGCAAACTCAAGGTCCAACTGCATTTCAGCTTAGTAGTAGGGCATCTTGATCCATAGTTGTGGATAAAGTGCCTGCTGTACTAGAATGAGGTTGTAAGTTCTAATCTCCAGCACCCATGTAAAAGCTGAGTGTTGATACTCATGCCTGTAATTCCTAGCACTAGAGGTGGATCACCAAAGCTTGCTGATCAGTCTATCCAATCAGTGATTTCCATGGTCATTGAGACCCTGAATTCAAACAAAGGTGGAAAGCAATAACATTCAGTGTTGACCCCTGGCTTCTGTACATACATGTACTATACACTCACCCCACTCCCAAGATCTGCTTTTCTTCAGTTGCTTGTAATAAAAATACCTGTCACTTTTAAAAGTTATTTTTTTAATTACATGTATGTATGTGTCTATGTATGTTATGTACATGTGAATGCAGGTACCCACAGAGGCCTTGGGTCTCCCTAGAACTGAGGTTACAGGCAGTTGTGAGCTGTCTGATGTGAGTGCCAGGAATTGAACTCTAATTTTCTTCAAGAGCAAGATGTTTTTTTTCAAGACAGGGTTTCTCTGTGTAGCTTTGGAGCCTATCCTGGCACTCGCTCTGGAGACCAGGCTGGCCTCGAACTCACAGAGATCTGCCTGCCTCTGCCTCCGCCTCCGCCTCCCAAGTGCTGGGATTAAAGGCGTGCACCACCAACGCCCAGCTCGAGCAATATGTTCTTGACTGCTGAGCCTTCTCCAGCTCCTATATAACCATTCTTAACACTAGATTGCTGGGAGAGAAATTACCATATACAATTAACAGCCTTCAGTTTGCTGAAGCTCTTCAGACTGGAATTGGACTCTGGAGAGGTTGCTCTACCATTTGTTTAAGGGTCCACTTGAAGATAGCAATCTCTTATCCTGGGCTGAGCCCAGCTGGTTAGTGACATAAGTAAAAAACACCCAGGAGACTATGTTGGTCTTTTCAAATCACATCAGCATGGCAGTTAATCAGCAGAGAGCACCTGCCGTCTTGAGTTGTCTGTATACCTTTCGGTTTGTATTGGGGCTATTTGATTTTTACTTTCTTTCCATTGTTTGGTAAGCCCATGGTGACTAAATACCAGAATTACATATTTGCTAAGAGTCCACTTTATGTTATGGTGTTTATTCATTTTAATCTTTCTTTAAATGTGAATATGTATGTTGTAAATTAAGCTGTACAAAGTGAACGGAAGCCCTTTGATGTGCAACGGGAGAAACCAAGCAATTGTGCTGCTTCAACTGAGAAGATCTATATCCGGAAAGATCTGAGAAGTCCTCTGATAGCCACTCCCACATTTGTGGCAGACAAGGATGGAGCAAGGTAAGTCTCCTGTTCTCACAGAGCAGCACTGTGATTGGCCTCCAAACTGGCCAGAGAAAGTGCAGATATCCCTAGAAAGAGCACACATGGTACAGCATGCCTCACTCTCCCTTTTGAGTTCACTTAACATTGTTGAGGGTACTCTAGGGCACAATGATCCTGCACTTTAGTCTTCATGCACACAGCAATAGTAGCCTTCTGTAATTCAAAAGTACAGACCTTTTGTTTTTTTGCAATATAGACAAAAGGACAAAAGGCCCAAGGTGAAGGCCCAGATAATGCCATAAATTAGCTTGCACATTCTTTTTAACACACTCTGTTGAACTGGTTTAAAAGAGAACAGAAATAAGGAAAATCAGAAATCTAAAATGTCTTATACAAAGAGCTGAAGTTGAGGGTCTCTGGACAATTCTTTGAATTTTAACTTTGGGGAGAATGGCCACAGTTAGTGTAGAAGGCCTAGGAATATGCATGTGTTCTGTCCTCCCTCAGCCTGTAGCCTGGCTTTATGAGGTGCTCATCAGCAAGAGCAGAGAGCTGGCCACTCACTCTACTTTAGGCTGAGTGTTAAAGGTTTTCTCTTAGCAAACAGCCTTGCAGATAATGAAAGTCAGGTGAATGCAGCATAAGCATACTGTGCAGAAAATGTTAGAAGCTACTCTGGGTTTCTTTGTGTCTTAAATAGACAAACAGGTCTTCTTGATCCAGGGATGCTTGTGAATATCCAGCAGCCTTTGATTCGCGAGGATGGTACAGTTCTCCTGGCCACGGATTCCAAGGTAACATTCTTTTCTTCTATGTGTTGCAGTGCAGGCTGCTTTTCCAACTACACCTGCCCTCTTGACCATCAGAGATGATGCTGAAGGCATAGCCTCCTGTAGCTCTGTATAGCCGTTCTAGGATTTGTTCTAAAGATGCTGGTGGCTTTTTAGACACCCCAGTCAGGGCAGACTGGCCCTCGATAGTCACTATCACATGATAGCTTTGTGGACATTCCCTATCATTTTCCCCCCTTGTTATACCCTAGCGCTAACTACCAGCATGCTGGGAAAATAGCTACTTTTTCTAAGGTTGCCTTTTGCATACGCTCCAGTTCCTTTCTATTTGATAATCTGCAATTAGCTGACAAATGAGCCAGAGAGAATGAACTTGAAGATAGATATGTCTGTTGGTCCAAGAAGTCACCTCCCATTGTGGTGACCTACACAATATTCTGTGGTTCTACCATAATTTATTGAGCAGTTTTGTGGTTAAAACTTTTTATTACACACACACACACACACACACACACACACACACACACACACAAACTAAACCCACATAGGTATATGTATGGGGGGGGCAGATGCATGTGCATATATTTAGTGGTTTATTTATTTTTGGCTTTCTTTTTATAAGTTGGGTGTAATTCACAATCCACCCTTACAGTGTATAAATTTATGGTATTTTAGTATATTTTCATGATTTTGGACTCAACCACCACTAATTCCAGAATACCTTTACCTTCCTAAAAGAAACTCATCAAGCCAGGCCAACCACTAACCTACTTTTTGGCTCCATGTTTTTAACAATTTTTTAACAATACATTTCATATGAAAGGAATCATGTAAGTATGACTCCTTCACAACTGGTTTCTTTCACTTAGCGTATTATCTTTAAGGTTCATCCATGACATAACATGTTCCTTAAGTTCCTTCCATTGCCAAAATGCATGCCACTGCCTGGCTGCTTCATGCTATGTATATGTTCATCAGGTGATTAGTATTTGGATTGTCTGTTTGAAGGGTAGAATTGCTGGCCATGAGCAACTTCTAAACTTTGAGGAACTGCCACACTGTTAATGAACATGATTACACCAATTTGTAGTCCCAACTTACGTGAAGTGTCACTGAGGTTTTGATTTGTAATTCAAGTGAGGTTGAATATACTTATTGGCCAGCTGTACCTCTTCTTTGGAGAAGTGTCTTCAGATCTTTGGCCCTTTTAAAATTAGGTTGTCTTTGTATTCAGACATGTGAATATATGTGAAGATATTTTCTCCCTTCTTCCAGGTTGTTTCTTTACTACCTTCTCTCTCTCTTTTTTTTGTTTGTTCTTTTTGTTTTTTTTGTTGTTGTTTTTGTTTGTTTGATTTTTGTTTTTTTTTTTGAAGCATGTAACCACCACCACCCATCTCTTTACTACTTTCTTAATATCTTCTAAAGCACCAAAAGTTGTGATTAGAGAAGTCTACTTTATCTGTTTTTCTGTCATTGTATCACTGTATCAACTGCATCACCTATGTGGATTTGTGTGTATGACCACAACCAAGATACAAAACAAAACAAAAAACCAAAAGATATGATCCAGTGGATACAAAGACAGATCTTCCTGATATGATTCTTTACTCACACCCTCTGGAAACTGGCCTTGAATAAACATGATATCATCTTCATTTCATTGCCCTTAAGTCATTTGCATGTACATGCTAGTTTTTTTTAATGTTAGTTTATTTATTTATTTTGATTCCTATTGCTTATTTAATAGGCTGAAACAAGCCAAGGAGCTCTGGGTACACTGGCAAATGTAGTGACTTCTCTGGCTAACCTGAATGAATCTTTGAACAATGGTGACACTTCGGAAATGCAGCCAGAGGACCAGTCTGCAAGTGAAATTACTCGGTATGAGCCCCTCTGATAGCCCATATTCCCCAAGCACTGTGTCATAAGGATGGATATGAGCGTTTTGGCACCTATGTTATAAATATGTTTTATTTTTTTGATGCTGAAAATTGACCTCTGCCTCCTGTGTACAAGACAAGTGCTGTGCCACTGAATTACAAACTTCAAAAGTACCCCAATTGTATCTAATTAAGAACTATAAAGTTGTCACAACCTACATATTGCTGGTCTTCTACATTTACTGTGGGCACCCACACTGGACAAGGACCTGCTTATATCATATGACATAAGACAGTCAGAACTGTTGTTTATTCCCTACACCAGAGCCTTCATCAGACAAATGTAACACACCTGCACAGAACAGTGTACCTCTTTCCTCTTACTGTTTCTATTTGCTTGCACCCATTCATGTGTCTGATGGATAGGACTAGCTGGTTCCAGGTGGCATTGGTGGGCTGCTCAAGGTGTTTCTTCGCTGTAGTATCTTAGGAGGGTAGTTATGAAAAAAAAAACCAGGATTTATATGTGTAGAAAGTACATAGTGAAGAAGAGTTTCACTGCCTTCTGAGTAGAGCTGGATTGTCTGTCTCTGTTGCTTCTCTAAGTAAAATCAGCTGGAGCTCTTTTACTGACTTCCCATTGATATCTGCTTTGTTTGGTCACAGGGCATTTGACACCTTAGCTAAAGCACTTAATACCACAGATAGTGCTTCACCTCCAAGTCTGGCAGATGGAATAGATGCTAGTGGAGGAGGGAGCATCCATGTTATCAGCAGAGACCAGTCAACACCCATCATTGAAGTTGAAGGCCCCCTCCTTTCAGACACACATGTCACATTTAAGGTGAGTACACATTAAGTGCTGGAGCCAGGTACTGTACCAATGCTAGTCTACAATTTCAAAAATCAGATATTACAGCTAGCTCATTTTCTTTACTTTATTTTGGGGTTTTTGTTTTGTTGTTTTGTTTTTTCTTTTCTAAGGCAGGGTTAGAGCTCTATGTAACAGCTCTGACTATTGCTGGAACTCACTTTGTAAACCATACTGGCCTGGAATTCAGAGGTCCACCTGCCTCTGCCTCCTGAGTGCTGGGATTAAAGGTGTGCACCACCACTGCCTGGCATGAGCTCATTTTCTAATTGTGACAGAATCTTGAATTCCAAAGCACATTCCTGTTGCTTCTTTACACAACTGTTTCATAGTGCCATTGGTTCTGAAGTGACTCTCCAATAAGTGTGGTGTATCATTGCTCAGATAGACTGCCGTAGTGCTAGCCAGCCACCGAGGATCAGAGGGTGGCTATTCTACCTCTTCCTTCCTATGACAGCTTGAGCCCAACATAAGCTCAGGTGGGCAGGCACCTCGTTGCCCCTCTACTATGTAGAGAAGCCATTAAATAAACTCATTTGCAAGTAGGCATCCAGACTCTGTTCTTAAGTTATTGCCCACCATCTTTGAAGAATCCTAGTAAGTCCTGAGTCTTTCCCATGCTCTTTCTGTCTGTCCTCCTGACAGGGCATCCAGTCTGTAGTCTCCAGAATGAAGTCTCTTGTCTCAGTGCTCTGTACTAGAGAGATCTAATCAGTCACTTAAATAGATGGGTCCCTGACTATAATTGCCCAAGACACTTTAGCACCTTTGTGGACATCAGAGCCCTGGCAGGCTGTTCTTCCAATGAGATGAGAGCTGTTGAAGATATCTTTGTATGAGTGTGCTAGGAAGTGTTTTACAGGCTCTGAACCCCAGTCTAGACTGCTGGAGTCAAGTCACTGAGCAAAAAATCATGGAGCTGCTGAAAGCCTTGGCTATATGGACACATATTCCACTAATGACAGGTCTTTGAAAGTTATCTGAAACAGCTACTTTGGTTGTTACCTTTGTTGATTTATGAAAGGGCACCTGCCCCTCCTAAATCACAGTATCTCTTATTTTCCAGCTTACGATGCCCAGCCCTATGCCAGAGTACCTCAATGTACACTACATCTGTGAGTCTGCATCCCGCCTGCTTTTCCTCTCCATGCATTGGGCAAGGTCAATCCCAGCCTTCCAGGCACTTGGGTAAGTGGCCTTTCTTCCTGGGTGTCCTTGAGTAGTGGCATTCTCTCTTCCAGGAATGGCCAGCAAGGTCTCTAAGGGCCTTTCCAGTGTTATTGTTCGAGTTTATCATATTCAGAAACCAAAATTGTATTAAGTGTAGTCAGTAAACTGGAGGAAACTGTACTTCTTGTGTGTGCCAAGGACTTGTTGCTAGGAGCTGTGTTTGGCCTTTGATAGGATGAATGTATCCGAGTACTGGTTTCTACGTTTAGACATCCCCTTGCCTCAGTGTTGGCCAGCCTATGAAGACTACTGGTGGCCTGTGTCATCTTTGCAGGAAGCCCCTCCTGATTCTTGTTCATAAACATCACTGTTTGATGATTCTGTTTCCCTATCAGTCACAGTGCTAGCTCTGCTACTGTGTTACGTAACCAATGTTCAGTCAGAGCAGGCTACCATCATGGCTTATATAAACAGTGACATGAAACTGGAAATGTAGTGAATGCATGCATGTTGCAGGGTAACCAACACAGGTTATATATGTAAAACATTAGGTTGTTTGCTAGTTCACAGCAATGGCCTAGAGTAAGCAGATCTGGGTTGAGAATCTTAAGCATTTGACAGCTGTAAGGCTATAGGAAAATCATTTCACTTCTCTAAGCCTTCAGTTTTCCTCTCCATAGAATCCCTGCCAGAAGTGAAAGCTGACAAAGCTAAACATGGAAGGGGATCTTCATATAGCAGTGTGCTACTAGGTTGGGTACTGTGGCATGTGACCCCAACCCCTCCCCAGCCCCCATGAAGTGAAGACATTCACCATACTTCATTATTAAAAGGTTTGCTTTGTCATTCTCCAGGCAACTGGACAAGCAGTAACTACTGAACAAACATTTGCAAATTCATGTAAACTTATGACAATGGTCTGCTGTTGATGCCATCTGGGAGATAGTTGACATCTCAGGGTTATCAGTACTGTTGTGTGAAGATGTCCTGATGTGTAGCTAAACAGTGATGCTCCCACTTCCTTGAGGTGGGGAAGGGTTGTTCGTTTTGTTTCCATTGGAGCAATTTGAAACATCCAGAGTTTCTTTGCCTAGGCTAGCACATTTTAAAGGGGTTTTTATTATAAATCACACACTGTTTCTAAGTTAGTGGTTAGACTAGTGATTCTAACAGAATAAAGGAGACATGGGAATGGCTCCATGTAGCCGGTTTCTCCAGCTTTCTGGCAACTTTGGAAATAAAAGGATTTGCAGTGTGCTACCTGCAGTCATTCTTCTCTGAGTATTGACTAAACAGAGCTGCTTCAGTTCCAGCACTAGCTGGAAGCCTTGTTATGGAGTTTCTGCTCTTTGGTGCTTGTCATTTGATCTGTCCAGCTTCTCATCTTTGCTGGAGGACCTGAGTCACAGACACCCATATACTCAGAGCCAAGCTAGGACCATTAAGATTTAGACTGTTATGGGAAACCAACTTTAGTGGGGAAGCTGGGGGTGTGTCTTAGTAGTAGAATGTTTGCTTTATGCATCCCAACCCCACAAAAACAAACTTTAGAGGGATTGTGTCCACGTATGTATATACGCGTGCATGCACATGTGCCTGTATGTGGGAGAGAAGACAACCTCAGGCATTTTCTCAGGTCTCTTACTAGCCTGGAACTCCCCATGTTAGCTTAGCTGTCTAGCAAGAGAGCCCTATGGATTTCCATCTGTCTCAGCCTCCCCAGTGATAGTATCTTACATGTGCATCACTACTACTTCTATGTCCAACTTAAGACCATTCCTTTTAAAGTTGTAGCCAAGTGTAGTTGTGTGTGCATTTAGTTTCAGCACTCAGGAGGCAGAGGCAAGAGGATTTAGCTATACAGACCAGAGCTAGTGAGACCCTATCTTACGTAACATAGGTTGGCTTCAAATTCTCTATGTAGCTAAGGATGACCTTCTACTTCTGGTCTTCTTACCTTCACTTCCTGAGTGCTGGGATGACAAGTGTACCACCCAGTTGTACTTGGGGCTTCGTGTGTTCTGGACAAGCATTCTACCCTGAGTATCTCTTGAATCCCTATTAAAGTTTCTTATTCCTGGGGCTTGGGACATGGCTCAGTAAAGAGCCTGTGGAAGTATAAAGACCTAAGTTCAGATCCCCAGAACCATGTAAAAGCCAGGCACAAAGGTATATGTCTATAAAACCCAAAATGGGCAGGTATAGTTAGAGATTCCCCTGGAGCTCAGAGGCCAGCCTGCCTAGCCAAATCAGTAAGCATCAGACTCAGTAAGTGACCCAGTCTCAAAAAGGTCAGGTGTAGTTGAGGAAGACAGTTGATGCTGCCTTCTGGCCTAATTGCAAATGTACACATGCACATACAACCATAGAAACATGTACGTATACCACACAGACATAAAACATATTTTTCTTTTTTAACTATGTATGTCACAGCTTGCCTGTGGAGATCAGAGGAAAATTTGGGGGAATTGGTATTCTCTACCATGTGGATTTTGGGGATAGAACTCAGGTCACTAGGCTTAATGGCAAGCATCTTTACCTGTTGGGCCACTTTGCTAGCCCTAAAAAAAGTCAAAGAGAGTAATTTACCATCTAAGGGACTTTAGTTAAAACCTTCATGGACTTACTCAAGACCTTGGTCATTTTCCTGGGAACAACCTTGGACATATAATAGACCATTGTAACACTAGGTGGGTGATGCTGAGGTTTTGAACTCATACAGCTCACATATTTAGTCAACTACATGCACCACACTCAGCCTTATCCTTATGTTCCCAGACAGGACTGCAATACCAGCCTGGTGCGGGCCTGCTGGAATGAGCTCTTCACTCTTGGCCTGGCCCAGTGCGCCCAGGTCATGAGTCTCTCCACCATCTTGGCAGCCATTGTCAACCATCTGCAGAACAGTATCCAGGAAGGTAGGTCCTAGAAATATGGGAGTAGAGTGTATCTTGATCTGATTTGTGCCAGGATAACAAAGCCCAGCCTGTGTCAGAGTTGACTCAGCTATTCTTCATGAATGGACAACTCTCTTCTATTAAGAGCTCCAGTGGCCATCTAATATTTGACAGTCAAGTAGAATAGCAGCTTTGGCAGTAGAAAATTGATTATGGCCCTGCAGAGGCTAGCCCTTATGAACTGAAGAATGCCTTATCATAAAGGAATTACCCTTGGCAACTACAAGGCTGAATTAGCTGCATTACTGAGGCAATGTGGACAAGGCAGCTAAGTACCTTTTTTAAAAATAAGTTTTTATTTCGTGTGTGTGTCTTAGTGTATGTCTGCACCACACGTATACAGTGCTCACAGAAATCAAAAGAAGGCATCAATGTGTTATAGTGTGTGATGCTGGGAACTGAAACCAAGTCCTCTACAAGAGCAGTGAGTGCTCTTTAAGACCCAAGCACTTCTTGCTACTTCACTTTCAACTGGAAATGGAGCTCTTGACCAGCTTGAAAAGACTTGGTTCTCTAAAGAGTGAACTTAGCCTCCATTTGTCTATGTGGCTCCTTAAAAGACTGGTCTTGTTCTTAGCAGGTTTCCTCAGGGTCTCTGTGATTTTTGTTTCTAGATAAGCTTTCTGGTGACCGGATAAAGCAAGTCATGGAGCATATCTGGAAGTTGCAGGAGTTCTGTAACAGCATGGCGAAACTGGATATAGACGGCTATGAGTACGCATACCTTAAAGCTATAGTTCTCTTTAGCCCTGGTAAGATATGCGGTGGGGACTTGTGACACTTGAAACTGTGTCTGCTGATGTTTCTGAACACATCATGTTGTAGGAGAGCCCTTCCATATTCTACATAACCCAGTGTGTTTATAACGAGTGTTTTGCTATCTATCTAGCATCAATATAGCATTTGTTAAATCTTTGCCTCTATAGCCCTGAATAACTGTGCCTGATTCATGTTCTCAATAGATTCGATCTGTACCCTAACCAAGCCATTGGCCAAATAAGATCACCGTCCAGTGGCCCCTTTTTTGGGGGGGGCTCTGTTGGTTTCCAGGTTCTCTGAGCAGATTTAAACTCAGCTTTACTGTTTCTGTGGAAACAATAGCTATTAAAAGGCAGCTACTATAGCAGCTGAAGAGGCAGAATTATTCTGGTGGAAAGCAAAAGATACTTGAAACATCCTTACATTCTGGAGAAGTTAGTTGGGCTAATCATTGACTTCAACAGCAAGGGCTGAATGTAACATAACTTTTCTCTTCCTCAGACTCCTCAACTCTAAAAGTATCTATTAAAAAGGAATTATTATATAATTAAACATCTAGGAAAAATTATTCCTCATATATCTTTAAAAATCTGTGTGTTAGAATAGTAAAAAGCAAGAAGTCTAGAGCCAATCCAGGAGAGCTGTTAGGCTCCACTTAGGAGTCACCCCCCCACCCCCACCCCCAGGTCTCTTACTGCAAAATACAGATGCAAAGCCAGTGTTCTGACAACTTCCTAATTCACTGAGCCAGCCTTCAGAGTTCAACTGCTTATATTTGATACACTTATTAAGTTAAGAATAAAAAAAGATTGTCTCTGACACTTTCCAAATACAAAGAGAAACTTGGGGTTACTTTTCTGTTTTCAGATCATCCAGGTTTGACAGGCACAAGCCAGATTGAGAAATTTCAGGAGAAGGCACAGATGGAACTACAGGACTATGTGCAGAAAACCTACTCAGAAGACACATACAGGTGAGGCACAGGGCCCTGTCCAACATAGAAGGAGTTGGGGAGATATGGCTAGGTCAGATTCTGTCAACCTGGCAGAGCGTCCATTAGATCACTGACATCTCCAGGTATAGAGGTAAGTGTGTGCAAACATAAGGAAATGCTAGGCGGGAAGCTTGAGACTACTGGTGATAGTCAGAAAAGGGGAGTGCTTTTCTGGAACTAACTCCTTGAGACTCAGTTCTCACATTTTACAGAGATGCTCAGCACCCATGGGGAAAGGCAGCACTAGAGTATTTGACAAAAAGTGAAATCTGGCCCTTATAAAGGAGGAGTGAGCTACATAAGGTAATTTTGCCCTTAGATAAAACTGATGGGGGAGGGGAAAGGTCCTTTTATATGGCTGAGAATTAGCAATATTTTAACAATAGGGTGTGTGTTTTAGCCTAATACAGATTTAGACAGTATTACAGTATTACAGCCAAAGAATAGAATGCATGGCAAGCTTTTCCAGGTCAAATTTTCTAACTCTCCCTTTCCTCCCAAAGTAAACAAAAGCAACAATCCACAAAGACATTTAGCCTGCTTTCCCCAGACTTGTATCCTCTGTGTAGAATTCCATTGTAGGCTCCCTGAACCACCAGGACTTCCTCTTCCTGCCTTGTGCTTCTTAAGGGAAATGCTGTTGTATCAGTGGCTCTGGTGGATTTTTCTGTGTAAAGACAAGATAGTTTTGTGGGCATTTCCTTAGCCCAGATTCAAGTTCCCCAAACCAACTTCTACAGGGATCACTGAAGACCTTGAGTCACATGTGGAGAGCGACTTCAGTCTCTGGTACATAGAGAATGAGATTGTCTGCTTATGCACCCATAACCCACAATTCCAGTCTTGCCTGGTGTGCAAGGATGTTGTTCTCTGAGGAGGCCACAGTGTTCCCATTGTTCCTGTGGCAGTAGATGGTCCTGGAGACTGCAGGAAGAACTCCTCATTTTAGAACCAAAATTCTGCAGCATTAGAAAGATGATGTCTTATTTCAAGGCCTAAGCCATTCCTGATCCAGTCAGGGATCAGGGAAAGAGGGTAGAGATGAAGGCACCATGGTATTCAGGGCCAAAAATGAGGAAAGCTTTCCTACAGAAATCAGAAACCCACTTAGGCATTTCCTCAGGGGAGGATATATATATATATATATATATATTCTAATTCTTCTTGCATACTTTCTAGGAGACTGTCTGTCTGTGATATGTAAATGTGTGGGAACAAGTAGCAAGATGCCTCCTTGGAAATCAAAGGACAACCCTTGGAAGTTTACCTCCTCATTGCTGACTTCCTGGGGCTACTTATTCTTTAGATCATGTGTAGTGTCTTTACACCTTTGCCCTCAAAGATTGAAGCATAGTGACTGAAGGTGGCTTACTGCATGGGTTGTACCTCAGGAGTATGCTTATAGAAAGTATTTATCTTAAGAAAAAAAAATAATTGATGACAGGGCCTCACTATGCTGTTCTGGCTGGCCTCAAACTCACAGAAATCCTTCCAAGTGCTGGAATTAAAGGCATCTATCACCATGCATGGGACCTACTTCCATTCTGTGTAACTGCTGTGCACACATGCCATAGGGCATGTGTTAGAAGTAAAAGGACAGCTTGGGGGTCTGGGAATCAAATTCAGGTGAAAATCAAGCTTGGCAGCCTATACCTTTATCCACTGAGCCATCTTGCCAACTCCCTACTCCCTTTTTCAAAACAAGGGACTAAAGCAGTGGTTCTTAACTTCCTAATGCTGTGACCCTTTAATACAGCTCATGTTGTGGTGACCCCTAGCCATAGAGATAGAGAGGCAGGTGGATCTTTGTGAATTCAAGACCCTCCTGGTTTACAAAGCTAGTTCCAGAACAGCCAAGGTGACACAAAGAAACCCTGTCTTGAAAAACAAAACAAAAAAATTTGTTGTTACTTTATAACTGTAGTTTTGCTGTTGTGAATTGTAAATATCTGTGGTTTTTCAATGGTCTTAGGCAACCCTTATGGCCACCCCACTCCACCCCAAGGAGTTTCAACCCTCTCTAGATGGTTCAGCAGAGTAGTTACTGCTCTTGCAGAGGACCAGTGTTCAGTTTCCAGAACCTACATGATCACTCATATACCTGTCTATAACTCAGTATCCAGGGATGAAACATTCTCTTCTGATCTCTGCAGGCACCTGGCATTCATGTAATGCACTTACATACACACAGGTATATACATAAATCGAAAAAAATTTCCATAAACAACTTAGGCACTGAAGTTAACTTGGAACATTCTAAAAAGCAAAAGGAAAGAAAATGACTTTATTATTATAAATTTACTTTCAAAACATGTTTTATTTATTTGTAATTGGGATCATAAATTCCAGTGGGGTTTTAACCTTTTTTCACTTGGCTATTGGCATATTTTGCCTACCTTCCCATGGCTAACATGCCAAGAGGAGCCTACCATGAACATATGGTGAGTATCCTTCCAAATGCTTCCTTTACACACAGACATATGTGTAGCATACAGCTGTGCTCCTTTTTAAATATGCATTGAGCAATATGGCTCTCTTTGCTTACAAGTAACTATAGATTGTTATGTCACAAGCTGGCCTCCAGTTTTCACTCCTCTTGCCTCAGCTTTCTGCAGCTGTGGTTGTAGACAGGATCACCACAGTATTCTTCCTAGTGAGTTTGTAGCAGCTAATTATAGAAATATTCCATACTTTAACCTATTGTCTGTTGATGACTCTCCAATTTGTTAGTGTGCAGGTAGGAAGAGCAGCTTTTTTTTTTTTTTTTCCCGAGATAGGGTTTCTCTGTGTAGTTTTGGAGCCTGTCCTGGCACTCACTCTGGAGACCAGGCTGGCCTCGAACTCACAGAGATCCACCTGCCTCTGCCTCTGCCTCCCGAGTGCTGGGATTAAAGGCATGCGCCACCAACGCCCGGCTGGAAGAGTAGCTTTTAACAGCACAAGAATTTCATACTTACTGTTAAACTTTCTACATTTATGTTGTGTGGGCGTGCATGTGTGCACTTGTGGAGGAGCAAGAACAACTTGTAGGAATTGGTCTTCCTTCCACCATGTGGAAACCATCCAGTGCTCTTTATCCACTAGCTGTCTCACCAATCCTGAACATACATTTTTGTACTTATTTCTTCATATTTTACTTTTGTTACTTTGGTTTTTTTTAGTCCAACAACAAAATAGGCAGGTCAATATAGGTCTGTTTAGTTCTCTGGTTCCAAAGGGACCTCCAGGAGTTATCCTGGGCTGGGCCACAGGCAGCCAGACGCCCCATTTCTCTAATGCCTACTCTTTCTTCCAGGTTGGCCAGGATTCTTGTCCGACTGCCAGCACTTAGGCTCATGAGCTCCAACATAACAGAAGAACTTTTTTTTACTGGTCTCATTGGCAATGTTTCAATAGACAGCATAATTCCCTACATCCTCAAGATGGAGACAGCAGAATATAATGGCCAGATCACCGGAGCCAGTCTATAGTGCACAGCCAGAAGCTGCCCACAGTGGAATGCCTCCTAGGACTGTGCAGGTGCAAGGGAAGGAAAGTAGCAATGTCTTGGTGTGTGCAGGTGTCTCCAGTGTGTTAGCCACTTCTTCCTGTTCATCCCAGACAGTAGCAACAAAAGACCAGTAGAACGCTTTCCTGCCCTAAGGAATGTTTTAATGCCTTTTGGTGAAGCAGATTCTGGAACAATCTTTTAATTCAATTTGTATTTAGAAATTCTCAAAGGGCAAAAAACAATACTGAAGTTTTATAATGTCAGAGACTAGTATTGAAAGAATACTAACTAAGAACAGTATGTGTAAATACATTTAAAAAGAAAGAAAAAAGAGTCCTTGGAATTAATAACTACTAATTACCAGGGTAATGTTAGCACTTTCTAAGCACTTCTTATCAAATCTGTAATGTTAACATCTTGCCTGTGGACAGGGCAAATGGAAAACTGTGTCCTTTTTGTCAAAATGCTAATGGTTTCTGTGAAAACTCATTAGGGTACAGGAGACAATCGTTCACATTTAGAAGAGAGCAGCAGCTTTGTGCAGTGGTGGTGCTGAGCTAAATTCCTGTGAGTGAAATGTGGATTACTGGTATTGACCCACTAAGAGCTGTTGTGTCAGCCAGAGACCTGTATCTGCAGACTCTTCCAGAACCTGGCTTAAGTTCCTGTGATGAGAGTAATTCTCCAGTGACTGAAAGTATGTCCAGCTCTCTCTACCAACTCATGGGAACTGGAGCCTTTGACCAAAAAGTGCAAGGTGGGTGATCTGCACCCTTTAACAACACTTCATGAGTATGACCTGTAGTAGTTCATGCTGTCCAGGGGCAGTGAGGGTTTCTATTCCTGGTGTGCCTGGAGAGGGGCCAGTATCTGTGATCATTCAGAACCTGCAGCTGAATGGGGGCTATGTATCTTTACTGCCTGGTGAGGGAAGTGGGCCTTAACTAGTGGAACAAAAGGCATCAAGATAAATTATAAGTATTAGTGGTTTTCAGTGTTCTGGGACCCCATGCTCTTCAGTTCTTCTAGGTATGTGCTAGTTCAACAAAGCTCTCTGGGGTGTTTGAAATAATAGAAGCAACCTGCCCTCTCTTTCAAAAGAGGATCCAAAAGCAATCCCCAGACAGGGCACATAGTGCAGGCCTGTAACCTCAGCACTTGGGAGGCTGAGTCCGGAGGATTATAGATTCAGGGTCAACCTAAGCAATTTAATGAGGAAACTCCTTTTGAGTTTTAAAGGGATCTGGGAAGTGGGGTGGTGACTTAGTGGTAGAATACTTGCCTAGCATGCATTAGGTCCTGGATTCCATCCCCAGTACCCAAATCAAAAAGTAAAAGCAAAACAGTTAATGACCATAGTTTCCACAAGAGTGCAGAATTCAGTTCCAAGAAAGTCAGATCTGATTTTAAGCTCTCTGCATTCCCATGGGTGCAAGTCTGCAGCAGCTGGGAAAAAAATGGAAGGTTGGGATAGGCACTTGATTCGCAGAAATTAAGAAAATTATATCCTATAAAGTTTGTACTTGTTGATGGGCAGGTACAGCTATGACGTTCAAGGCTAGACAGGCTGTTTCTTTTTGAGTTACTGACTTTTTATTCACTGTTATTGGGACTTAAGTGCATATAGTAACTCTAGCTTCTAAATTCCCAGCTAGATTTTGAAGACAGTATTGGAAAATAGTAGGAATGGCCAGTATAAAATGATGGAAAGAACTTAATTTTGTCAGCTTAAAGTTTTCTTTTTATGTGTATATTCAAAATTAAGACAATGACCAGACACGAGTATATTGGGTCTCTTTCATCTCTTTAGAGGGGTCCTACAGTACATATGAACATCTTTGCTTGTCTTAGGATTTTACAGTTGAGCATGCCAGTCATTTCTAGGCCACTCAGACAGGGCCTGGGCATCCCCAATCAGGCTATTTAGACCATGGTTGGATAAGAAGTGCCAACCGCTGATAAAAATGGCACTGGGGGGCATGGGGGCGAGGAGATTTTGCTGGGAAAAAGGTTGGTGATTCTAACCTGCTCAGTCCTTTGTAAATCCTGTCACTGGTAATGGCCAATTAACAGGGCCACTTTGGGCCAAATTCCTTTACTGGTTGTCCAGATCTTTGTGGCCTTACCTTTAATACATGTATCCACACAATGTTCTCATTAACTGAAAACATTTCAAACTTTGAGTGCTGCTCCATTCCATCTTGTCAATTGGACCTAGGAAGGTCAACCCCAGTCGTTTAAGAGAGCCCAATCCAGTCAGTTTTCAGGGCTTTCCATCGTTGATTTAGGAGTCTGTGATATTCCCAAGTCTAATGAAGCAGGAGAGGCTTGTCTAGACACTCCTCTCTCAGGTAGGTGGATAGACACAAACTGACTTGGCTACTCTCAGGTAGGAGCCTGGCTAACTAGGCTCTTTTCCAGAAGTATCTCAAATAAAGTTAAGATAGTTCCAGGTTAAAATTGGGATAAAATACGCCAGGATATTTAGACAAAGACCACATTCCCTAAGCAAGTCACCCTAGTTACTCCTCAAGGTGTTCAATGCAGTATGTCACCATCCTTACAGTTTGCAGGGGCTTATTTACTACATAGTCTCTTCCTGAGGCTGCAGTTGGGGTTGTGCTGTCTGGGTTTCTGTACTGAAGTTTAAATGGAGTCACTTATGCCCTTGGCATGGTTCTCGAATTTCGGTGTCAGTATTAGATGTGGACGGTATTCATTCTGAGGTACTCACTACATCAACCAAGGTGGCCAGTGTGATCCCCAAGTGGAGCAGCAACATCTATACTACACATACTTGTTTCTGGAAGGGTAGTCCTACTCATGCACTTCCCCTGATCAGCATCTATGTTCTGGAAACCTGTTGTTGCTTTCCAATGACTTTCCAATGGGTGTGCAGTGGGGCTGTTGGTGCTGCTGAAACTCTCTTCTAATCCAGGCCATAAAAAGCACCATCTGACTGCTGCTTTTCTCCAGCAGGAGGGTCCTGGGAATATCCCACACTGGCAGAAAAGGTACCCCACCTCTTGTTTTGCCCAACTTCCAGTCTCTAGATTATGTGGCTCTTTGCAAAAGTCTTAACTCTGATGTCAATTTCTAAAACCAACTCCAAAATGAGATGGGGTTGGCCTAGGTGTTTTGTACTAGGTTCTGGACTTCCTCATTGAGTGCCTCCCATCAGTGTGCACTTTCTGTGCACACCCTGTCCCTTTAGCTGCACTGTGTATGCCCAGAATTATAGGCCTAGATGACTGAATGAATGTACATGTGTTCATATTATCTTTGTACAGTGTATATAATGTTGTGTATATAGGTGTACATTATGTATACAGACATGTAGCCATGTATCCAAACTTCTATGTTAAGAGTTGATGCTAGCGTTGCTTATGTGAATGGATGTGGGTATTGCAAGGTTCCTTTGACAGGGATGTACTGGTGAATTTCTTACCAACTTCATTTTCCTAGAACAGGGAGCTGCCTGGGAAGGACCTGACAGGAGGGCAGTTTTCTAGGTTTAGAAGGGCCCAGAAGCTGGTGGAAGAGATGTTAGTGTAAACCTGCTTTTCAAAAGCCAGTTTAGCTTAACTAGAAGGAACTTAGTGGCTGAAACAGGCACTTGGGATCTCAGGGGCTACAGCAGTCTCTTTTGTTTACCCTGTGCTCTGTCAGCAAGACTTGGGTACTGTTTGGCCGTAAAAATAACTGGCCTACCAAACATTCTTTAAAAAATGCTAATAACTAACTTGTGGCATGTAAACCACAAATAATAAATTGTCCCTATAAATAGAAGCAAGTGAGGGGTTATACTGACCTAACTACGTTCTATAAAAGTTGTACTTAATAGTACAACTAAGCTAAGGCTGACATTTTCCTCATCTACCAGGTATATTCTGATGAAATTTGCCCCCTGTGATTGGGATTGTAGGCTGAGACGGGTCTTGGGAGCCAAGGCCCAGCCTGGCAGAGCTGCTAGTGGCCTGGCTTGGAGGAAACCAAGTGCAAAAAGCCTGCCTGACCCACAAGGTTGTTGCTCTTTGTGTTTTAAGAAATAATTGTTAAGACTATAGTCCTCAGTGCCTTTGGTGAGACATGGGTCATTTGGCTTCAGCTTCCCACTTTTTGTCCCTGCCCTCACCCCCTCATGGTTGTTCAATCTTGCCTGTGTCATTGCCTCTTGTGACAATCACACTATTCAAAGTTATACTTTCCAAGTATAACACAAGGAAGCTTGGCAGTTGCTAAATGAATCCTTCCATTTTCTTTGGGGGCTATTGTCTTAGCAGCAACCTGAGAGTGAGTTTAAAAGTGGCTTAGGAAGGAGAAGAACACCAGATATTTCTAATGCTCAGCAATACGCACTTTCAGTTAATTTTCAATAATTTTGGTATTTATACATGGAATGTAGGGAAAATGCTCAACATTATGTCACTCTTAAGTTTTAGTGTTTGGTATAGACTGCAACATTATATAAATGGCCTTTCTTTGGGAAAGTACCATCATCAGTTGTCATCCCAACAGCCTGCTCATTCACAGATGCCAATGCACACACAACTCAAGTGCTGGAATATTTTTCTAGTCTGTTTTCCCAATTAACTTGTAAATCAGTGTTCAACTAGTTTTATAACTGAGAAGCTGCACATTTTTCATAGTACCAACTAGTTTGTAGTTTGGATTTCTCTGTTAAGATACAGCGCATTATCTGCTCCCCTCCTCCCCCCTTTTTAAAGGACATCTACTAAAGGAAAGTTCAGTGTGGAATTTTCTTGGGACCGGTTGTATAACTCTGCCCTTCACACTATAGAAAACACCATGGATGCCATTACCTTTTGATTCCAGGTTTAAAACCTGCGGAGAGCTACCATTTTGTAGCTTTTCTCCCTGTGTAAATGAGCTATGTGGTGGCATTTAAAACCCGCATGTTCTTTTTAAATTGAATTTTCTATCTAATCAATGTCTTCAGTCCTGAAGGAGAATCTGCATCGTTGTGTCTATGTAGAGAGTTGCTGTGCATGGTTATGAGCGCCTTTTACTAAAATCTGTTCAATGTGGCTTTGTTGTTGTGGCTTAATACTACCTACATGAGGTTTATACTATTAAAGTAAATTAAAGACTAGCATGTGTACCACTCATCATTTTTTCCTCAAAACAGTAATGTGTGGCCTGAGCCCATTCTCTGCCCTCCATCAACACCTTAACCCAAGGTGACCTCCATCAGTTGGAAAGACTTTTGGTAGAAAAACTCAGACTGAACTCTCCATGGCCATCCAGCATGGAGGTAAGGACCCTACTTAGACATAGAGCATGGTGGGTCTTACATACAAGTGTGCAGTCAGGTGTCAGACCCACATACTAGGTATTTGCTGTGGAATAAAAAAAAAATGTGTCCTCAGAATCAGTAGTTGAATGAACTGCTCTTACGTCTTCTGGTCTTTACAATTGAGGGTTCAGAAGCCCAAGTCAGATCCTCACAGCTGCCAGTGGTACCTCAATATGAAAATTGTCACTTCAGAGGACCATCATATCAACTCAAGTCCTTGTGTGGTCAGTTAGTCTCATGTGTGTAAAACCTCATTCCTAAATAGGAAAAAGAAGTGCACCTGCATCTATCTACTGCTCAGAGGAAGGCCAGGCCATCAGTAACAGTGATGCTATAGAAATTATCAGCTACCCATATGTTGTTCCTGTAGCCTTGCGAGGTGCAAGAGTCAAAACTAAGGTCAACCATACCTGTCCATTATACATTAGAGCCACAAGCATCCATTCCATTGCAGCCCCCTCAGGTCACCTAAAAACAGCTCTGCTGCAAAACCACAAACCAGAGCAAAGGATGGAAAGGCACTATTCTGCAAATCTAAGCATGCCAGTTTCACTGCCTCCCTGAGGCCACCCTGGTCTACAGAGCTAATTCCAGGACTGTCAGAGCTGTTACACAGAGAAACCCTGTCTTGAAAAAATAAGAAAAGTCACATGTATTATTTTTCAATCTAGTAAGCAAGGGTTGAAGGTCAACATCAACTGGACTCCAAGTTACTTACCCAGGTGGCATCTTCACTCTCAAGGTCAGAAAGATCCCTGCTACAGTTAACAGATAAGTAGCCCTCAATAGCTTCCAGACTTACCATATATAGGAAGACTAAAACTTTTTATTGACATCTGTTCAGCAGCTGGCAACCCTATCCTTCTCCCCATGTCCTTTAAATGGGCATGCAAGCAGGCCTTTCCATTGCAGAGAATTCCATCAGTCCATCCCAAATGATATTGCTCAGACCTAAGTGCTGGCTTTCAGAGCAGCTTTGTACTTCCCTGTCATCTCCTTGGGTAAAGGCGCCAGGGCAGGGCAGGGCACCTGACCTTCCACTTCGCACATGCACTCCCGCAAGCAGTACTTGCGGGGACCAAAGTTGGCTGGATGAGATCGCTGCTGCTTCTCCAGCTCCTCCTCCCTGAGGGTCTCTCTGCCAAGGAACACACACAATAGCAAAACATGACTAAGGGCTCCAGACAACAGACAGCCTCTTCCATGTGAGGGGAAAGGCACTAGGAAGCACCCACAGGGAAAGAGCAAAGGAGCCTGAGTCTTCAGAGACTTTCTTGGCTTCATTTACTTTCTTCCTGTCCTTCCTCATTCAAAGAGCAAAAAAAGAAATTTGGAAAAAGGCTCCAAGCTTCCCTTTAACTGCATGCATGTTAGGGCAAGGACCACCCTTGTCCGCCATCACAGCAAAGGAGTGAACAAAAGATTTGGTGACTTTCAGCTTACATCTGCTGAGCAGAAAGACCAGCCCTGAACTAATCCTGCCACCCAAGGTCTTGTTACTAACTGGGGCTGGAAATGTTCCGTCTCCACACCTTCCCTGCACATCCCCTTCACCCTCACATTTTTGGGGCTAAGGTTTGCTCTTGTCAGGTCAACCCAGTAACTCACTCTTTCTTGCCCAGAATTTTCTTTATGTGCTCCATGATCTCTTTATTACTCTTGGTCTCCACGTCTACCAGCACCTGCTCCCCAGAATCTGTAAACAAGAGGGCACATAAGGGGAGGAGAGCTGACTCAGGCATACTTCTCAGTCATAGCAGGCTGGGATTGCCAGGTGTGACACACCTGTAGCCTCATCAGGTAGGATGATTGACAAATCAAAACCAGCTTGGCCTCCAATTTGCTTTTAGTAGAATTCAATTTTTTTTATTTTAAATTATGTATATATGTACATTCGTGCATGAAAGTACAGGTAGCTAAGGAGTCTAAAAGAGTGTCAGGAGCTGGAGTTACAGGCAACTGTGAGCCATCTGACTTAGGTCCTCTGGAAATGAACTTTAATTGCCCTTAATTGTAAGTGCTCTTAATTGCTAAGCCATCACTCCAGCCAAATAATTTTTTTGCATAACTGATGAGATACTGCCTCTTCCCATTAAAAAAAAAACAAAACAAAACAGGAGCAGACAAATTCCTCTATAGATTACTGTAGTCCCTTATAACAATGCAGTTTTTGTTTGTTTCCAGATGTGGTTTCTCTATAGCCTTGACTATCTTAAAACTCTGAAGACCAGGCTAGCCCATAACTCAGATATCTGCCTATCTGTAAATGCAGGTTTTATGGAAACTTAACAAGTCTACAATTCATATGGAAATGAAAAACTTAACTCTGAAATGAAAGAAAATGGGGAAGCTGGGGGGTACAGTTCAAGGTAGAGCACTTGGCCAGCCCAGTCAAAACCCTGAGTGAGAGCTTGATACTCAAATAAGGGGTGTTTGCTTTCCAAGTGTTCTATAGTTAAAGGCACTGTAACAAAGACATGCCCAACAGCATGCATACTGTCAAATGGGACAAAACAAAGCCCAAGACCAAATAAACCCTTCTATTTACAGGCAACTGTTTTCAGCAACAATGGCAAGAAAATTTCAATTTAAGCTTTTTCATCAAACACTGGAACAGGCTACTCACATGCAAATACACACTAGGAAAAAATTTAAATGGACCAGAAACCTAAAGTTACTACTGTGTCTGTGCCCACATATGGAGGACGGGACATATCTGTGGAGTCTTCAAGTACTAAGTCATCTAGCTGGCCCAAGCTAAACAATTTATAAAGTTTAAATGAATGTAGCTCATCAGATAGTGCTTGCCCTGTTGGAGGCACGGGGTGCAGCCCCCAGCCTAGCAAGCAAACAAACAAAAACACCACAGAAGAAAATCTTCATGACTAAGTAGTATTTTTTTTAGGCATGATATTTAAAGCGTGATTCATAAAGCCAGTCAGTAACTTGAATTTGAAATTCCTTACTTTGTCTTGTAGAAGATACTGTGAGCCAGAGATTGGGAGAAAATGCACATATATCTGATTGAATTCACAACTCCAGTTAGATAACCTGACTAAATTAGCTATTTTGCCCATTTTTTTTTTAAGTAAAAACAAAATAGCTAGTGACTACACATGAAAAAGCAATCAGTATTACTCATTAGGAAAATACGTTACAGTGGCCAAAACTTTAAAGAGTGAACAACAGAAGGCACCAGTGAAGAGGCTCAATAACTCATATGCAGATACTTTGTGGAGGTGCATACTACTACTACTATCTAGACCAATCAACTGAGACAAAAGAAAACTGCCAAGACTAGTGAAGGAGTGTCATGCTTTGTTTCCAGATGATGTGATTGTTAGTAAAATGTCCTAAGCAATTCATAAAATTACCAGAAATGATGTCAAGAGACAAGGTGCAAATTCAAAAACCAGCTACCACCAAACTACAAGAAAATGTAATGTTCAAAATAATAAAAGCAAAACCATAGCCAGCCTTCTAGAAACTGGCGAACATATTCAAGTTTATATAATCCCAGCATTCAGCAGGCCAAGGCAGGAGCACCACAAATTTAAGGTTAGCCCCTGGATAAAACAAACAAACAGCAAAGGACCTAGAATAACAAAACTTGGGAAGGGAGGATAAAGTTTGTACCCAATTCAGTGAAAGAATTCAGAAATTATGGCCTGGCGTTGGTGGCACACACCTTTAATCCCAGCACTCTAGAGGCAGAGGCAGGCAGATCTCTGAGTTCGAGGCCAGCCTGGTCTACAGAGTGAGTTTCAAGACAGCTTCCAAAGATACAGAGAAACCCTGTCTCAAAAAAATCAGAAATTTGGGGTCTATCGAGATTGCTTAGTAGTTCAGAGGACAGGGGTTCCATTCCCAAAACCCATATGGCTAACCACAATCTGTAACTTCAGTTGCAAGGGATCCAATGTTCTCTTCTGACCTCCCAGGTACTAGGCATAAATGTGGTACACACACATACACACAGATATAAAATAAATCTTTAAAAAAGAAGCATACATTTGACCATTTCGACCAAAACATGTAACCTAGTGTTTTGTTTTTTGAGACAGGGTTTCTCTGTGTAGCTTTGGAGGTTGTCCTGGAACTTACTCTGTAGATCAGGCTGACCTCAAACTCACAGAGATCCACCTGCTTCTGCCTCCTGAGTGTTGGGATTAAAGTTGTGTGCCACCAACGCCTGGCTCTCAGTGGTTTTAATAATATAAACACACACTGTACCCACTCACTCACAGTCACTATCCCCACTCCTGGCTAGCACCTTCAATGTTCTGAAAGTTACCTCTTGGGGAAATTTCCTGATCTACCTAGTTGAAGCAGGTATCAGCACTTAGTCCTTTGCCACAACACACTGTTGTTCACCCTTGATTTTTGGACAAAGTTACCAAGGAAATCTTGTGAGGAAAAGTGCAGCATATGTTCAACAGCTGGACATTCTCAATGCAGAAAACAACTCAATTTCAACCCTGCCTTTGGTACACAGGAAAGAACTTGAAAAGTGTATCACAGGCAGGGTGGAGAGAGGGTTCGGTGATTAAGAGCGCTTGCTGCACAATCAATCTTGAAGACCAGAGTTAAGATCCCAGCACCTACAAAACAAGTGGGTCATACTACACCTATAATCCTAGTTCCAAACAGGGGTGCAAACAAGGATTGCTGGGGCTTGTTGGCTTCTAGCCAAACCAAAAACACAATCCCAAAATTCATGGAGCGAGCCTCCCTTAAAGGAATAGGTAGAATGATAGAAGATATTTATAACCCTCTTTTCATCTCTATGTGTGCACACAGGCTCTAGAACCAGCACACACACATTATACACACTTCAATAAATATATCTCAGGCTGAGAAGATGGTTTAGCACTTAGCAGTTTTGCAGAGGACCCAGCTTTGATCCCAGCATCTACATGGAGAGTCAAAAACACCTGCTACATACACCGTGCAGTGATGGCTCACACCTTTAATCCCAGCACTCAGGAGACAGAGGCAGGCAGGTCTTTATGAGTTCAAGGCCATCCTGGTCTACAGAGTGAGTTCCAGGACAGCCAGGGATACACAGAAAAACCCTGTCTTGAAAAACTAAAAAACAAAACAAACAAAAACACTCTTTAACCCTAGTTTTAGAAGATCTTGCCTTTGCTGACTCCTGTATGCATCTGGTGCATATAAACTCATGTAAGCAAACCCACATAACAAAAAATGTAAAAATCTAAAGTATCACATAGACATAAAATGTAATTATATACCTCTCAGGAAAAAGAGAGGGGCTTTGAACAAAAGCATCAACGACAGGCCACAAACCCACTAGACCAGAAAGAAGTGAATGACCTAGAACTTATGCAAATTAGAACCTTTTCAAGTCCCCATGTGGGGGTTGGGAGTTAAGAGACCACAGACTTGAAAGTTACTATACACCTACTGTCTCACACAGAACTTTACCTAGAACACTGTACACAAAGAACAGCTCCTGAAAGATGCTGCTGGAAGTGAAAAGGGACTTTGCAGATGTGCTCAACTGAAAATGATCTCAAAAGTTGTGTTGGAAATTCCTGATGACATCTGCAGGTGGGACCTCTAGGAGGTGACTAGGATTGGATGAAGCCATGAAGGTGAGTCCCAAGATGGCAGCAGTAATTATGTGAAGAGGAGAGACAAGTCACCAGCTTGCTCACTGGTCACATGACCCTATACTCTGTTGTTACACAGCAAGAACATGCTCTGTAGATATGGTCCTTCAACCTTGGTCTTCCCAATCCCCACCGCTTCTGTTACCTGTTCTCTGTGGCTGCTCATGCCCACTACAGAACCCAGCATTTTCCTGGACTGAACAAGCCTTTCAGTGCTGTGTCCCCATCTACAGCTCTTTTATCCAGGTGTGGGTCCTGCCACTTTCCCTTCCATCCTCAAATCTTTTTCATGGTCTCAGCGATTTAAACCTCATCATGCAAGCTCATCATTAGGTGACTGGATGAGTTGATAGACTGACATAATGGAAGATGTTCAGCTGCTAAACATCAACAGATGCTGGGTCCTCTGAGCTGGCAGTCCTAGCACTCAAGAAGGTAAAGCAGGAGTCTCAGGTCAGCCTGGCAATATAATGAGACCCTGTCTCTAAAAGGATAAACTGGATGGGATGTGGCTGTGTGGTAGAGCACATACTTAGCACTTGAAAGACCCTGCATTCTAGCCTTAGATGATTATCAAAAACAATGTATATAAAAGATTTTTACAAAAGAAAATGTACCAGGCTCCTCCCAGCCCTCCTTGCATTGGGGACCAAGATACAGCCCTGTGGTATAGTGGGCCTTTCCCACAGGGCACATGGCTGGCAAAGAGACTAGCAGCACCAGCAGACGGCCTTGCTATGTCATGGGCAGAGATTTGAGGGCAGCTCCACATCCCAGTACAGCTCCTAGCCAGTGATGGGTTGTTTGTCCCACTGACTCTACCATCCAGAAATGGAAAAGAAAATTTCCAGAGATTCTTGTCCACATGAAATTCAGAGGCAAAGCAGGCAGGCATACAGTGGCCATATCTAACCTGAGCATTTGAAAGGCTCAGCCAGGAGGACTGTCAGAAGTTTAAGGCCAGTCTGGGCTACGTAGTGTGTTCCAGGCCAGTTAGGGCTACACAATCCTATCTCAAACAAAAAGTCCTAACCTACTGCCCCTGCAGAAAGGGACATATCCTGGCTTTCACTACAGACCCATCCTTATGCCATGCAGTGACTTCATCACTTATACAGGGCTGCCTGAGCTGTGACTCCAAGCTGCAACACTTGCCCAGAAAGCACACTGAGGCACTAAGAATGCAAAATCCTGTAACTGTCTTCCTTCATCACAGGACTAAAAAATGCTGGTTTCTTATGTATTGTCTCCCCATACACGGAACATCCCCCCCCCCACACACACACACCCACACACTACCCCCTGGAGCTATGGACATACATCTCCAGCAAAGGATATCTGCTTTTATTCCTTAAGCTCATGGACAAAGAGTGAAAATATACCAGTGCACAGCAGCAAAGAGATGTGAATAGATTAGCCCACATGACAGGCAGAGAACAACAGGAGATAAACTGGAGAAAGACAGGTGAGGGAGCTGGGTCCAGATCTCAGCAGCCATTGGGTACCTGGAAAGAGAAGCTAAGGGCCATAGTGTTGTTTAGATAGCTCACCTGCTACCTTCACAGAGGGCTGGAAAAGGGTAAGTGGTTCTCCCATGCCTCACTCACCTAGATAGAACCGCAGGAAGGGTGATGGCGTCATGTTCTTAAACAGCATGATCTGCACCCAAGGGTTCTTATACTGGATCTGAGGGATGTTGAAAAACACGAATTTCCTGTAAAAGGCAAGAAATGAACCCATGTAACAGCTTTCTAGAAATGAACCCACATGCACCTCCATGTCTCATGTCAGAGCACTCCAGATCTCCAACTCCTTTCAGCTTTGTTGACTGCAACACACTTCTTTCTCTTGGGCTGGTTCCATTCCCTGTTAGCACCTCTCTTTGGTAGGTCTCCCACAACTCTGGGATCTCTGACATTGGGCTCTCAGGAACTCCATGTTGGAACTGTCAGGCCAAATGCCTGACTTCAACAGCTTTGCTTAACCTTCCATACCCCTTCCTGTATCCTTCTTGAGTAAATCCAGAACTACATGGCTGAAGCTATCAAGATGTTCTTGCATGGGCTGAAACCTGGACCCTCTAAGACTTGCACTTGCATAAGCCTTGACTGGTTGATGGGTTTCTTTCCCACTCACCCCGCTTTGCTTTTTCAAGACAGGATTTCTCTGTGTTGTCCTGGCTGTCTCAGAACTCACTTTGTAGACCAGACTGACCTCGAACTCACCTGCCTCTGCCTCCTGAATGCTGAGATTAAAGGTGTATGCCACCACCTCCCAGCTTGGTTGATGGTTTCTAAACAGAGAAAAATCCATCACAGGAATTGTTGCAGGATTAGCAGAGTGGGTATCTTACCTGAGGTCACCACTCCCTTTATTCCATTTAGCATCAGGCCTTTCTTTAAACTTTTTTATCTCTAAGCATAGGAGGTGGCTCCATCATTACATATCCTGATGCTCTCCTCAAATTGTGCATTTTATATATTTTTCTTTGCCCTACTTGTTCCTTTTCATTGTAGAACTACATAACCACTTGACACAGTCAATGCTAAGCTGTCTTGAAATCTCTACCAACATCATCAATCCAAATCTCCTAAAGTTAGTCTCTGGAAGATTTTTTGGACAAGGGCAAAAGGCAGTCACATCCTTTGCCAATGCTCCCTAGGCCAACTGCTAATATTTTCCTCCTATGAATCCTCTTAAGTGGGGCCCCCATAGTTCCTAGTGCCCTCATCACCATTGTCTTCCATGTTCCTGCTAGGATGGCTCAGTAAGCCTCACATAAAAGTGTTCAAATGCATTTCTAGTTCAAAGTCCCAACATCTTCCATATTCTTCCAACAAACATGATCAGGCCTGTCATGGCAATACTCCAGTCCTTGGTACCAACTTCTGTTTTAGTTACTATTCCGTTGATATGAAGAGACACCATGACTAAGGAAACCTTTATAGTTCAGGGGTTTATTCCATTATCATCATGTAAGGAGTATGGTGGCAGGCAGCCAGGCATGGTGCTGAAGAAGTAACTGAGGGCTTACATCTGATCTGCAAATTGCAGGCAAGAGACACTGAGCCTGGAATGGGCTTTCAAAACCTCAAATCCCACCCTCAGCAACACATTTCCCCAACTTCAACCAGGCCACACCTTCTAATCCTTCTAAAACAGTGCCACTCTTTGGTGACTAAGCATTCCAATATATGATCTGGGGGCGGGGGTATTCTCATTCAAACCACCACACCACGCAATAGCTTTCTAGAAATAAATCGATGTAAGAGTTTTTCCCTGAAATTCTGTGCATACCTTTTGAAAGGTTCAGGCATTATGCTGGCCTGCCTCTGTTACCTGGCAGAATCCATTCAGGCAGTACCCTGGTCAGCCCAGAGTTCCATGGGAACTAAGACCACGGGTACTAGTTGCATGCAGGTGCAAAGGACCCCTTTAAAAGACAGACCCCTTCTGTACCAGGTCTACCAGGTCAGAGAAACCCATAGGAACAGTAGGCCTGAACAAGGGAGAGCACATCGACCCCAGATGCTGTCTGGGAGGCCAGTACAAGACTGATCCAGACCCCTGAACATGGATGTCAATAAGGAGGCCTCTGCACTCCAGGGAGCCTCTGGAAGTGGATTAGTATTTTTCCCTGGTGTAAGAAGGGACTTTGAGAGCCCATCCCACATGAAGGGATATACTCTGGCCCTGGACACATGGGGAAGGGCCCAGGCCCAGCACAGGAAGATATGGTGGACTCTGCAGAGCCCCTGTTGAGGGTGCAACTCTTCCTGGTGAGTGGTGGGTGGATGGGGTGGGAGGAAAAAAAACAGACCCCTGCCCACTTACACTCCTCTTCTCCTCTCTGCTCTCCTCTTCTGCTCTCCTCTTCTCTTACACTCTCTGCCTCTCTGCTTCTCTATGGCAACCGGCTATGGCGGTCAGCCATTAACCCTGTTCCTCTTCTCTCTTAGTCTCTCTACTCTGCCGGGCCTATAATAAACTGGTTAATATCTCTAATAGTCTCATGTCTCATCTTGCGCCTCTTCTTTATTTCTAATTTAAGCAAAAGAACAACACCTTTTCCATGGAGAAAAGTCCAGGTCTTGCCAGGGATTGTAAAAGGGAGCTGCCTCCAGAAAAATGAGGGAAAATAGGCAGAGGATTGGTGTGTCCCCAACACTTGCACTTCGGTAAGCATCTAGGTTGCTAAGGGAAACAAACCAATTCTCCCTGAAGAGCATTCACAGAGCTCCCCAGCACCAAGCCCAGAATGCTGTGCACAAAGGGTTGCACCTCTATGTGTCTAGCGAACACGTTACTGAGGAGGCTCCATAGAGAGCACTGTGTACTAAGTATTACATGAGTGTTTATGATACAGACATGAAAGAAAACCTTGAATTGTAGAAGGCTGAAATCAGGTAACTTTGAAAACACTAAAATATTTACATGGCAAAAAAATGCCAAAAACAAATTCAACATCTGCTGGATGGGTGTGGTGACACAACTATAATCCCAGCAGCACTCCAGTGCCTGAGACAGGAGGATGGAATCCAAGGTCAACCTGGGCTACACAGGGCTCAAACAGAAAGCACTACATTTTCCAATCATTAAAAAAAGCCTGTTAAGCCGGGGTGTTGGTGGCACACACCTTTAATCCCAGCACTTGGGAGGCAGAGGCAGGCGGATCTCTGTGAGTTCGAGACCAGCCTGGTCTACAAGAGCTAGTTCCAGGGCAGCCTCCAAAGCCACAGAGAAACCCTGTCTCGAAAAAGCCAAGAAAAACAAAAAACAAAAAAAATCTGTTAAACATTAAAAAGTGATAATTCTGCTAAAAATAGCATTGTACACATCATCAGTAAAACTGGCATAATTCTGGGCTATAGGGGAAGGTATGTGTGAACTGCCTTAACCTGTCTGGTAGTCAGTTTATGACTAGAAGCTTTAAAGCATCCTGACTCTAACTTCATTCCTCTTTTAGATACCTCTGCATCTGAATGAACAAAATGGAACAGAAGGTAAAGATGCTGACATTTAGGCTACAGTATTCAAATCAGCATGGTGCACCAGGAGAGACCTTGCTAAAGAAATTCCAGCAGGACTGCAGCATAGCTCCACACAGTAGAGCACCTTCCTAGCATGTACAAGGCTCAGGATTCCATCCCAGAACCATACAACAATAAAGCATATATAGCTGTCCACAACACAGTAAATCTGGGTCACTTCTGGCTTCTGGGTTCAAAAGGCTGACAGGAAGTGCCAGTGTCAGGAAAAGGGAGCTACTTCTTTTCCTGCTCAACCCTGACGTGATCAGCCCGAAGGCCCCTGTGGACAGATCCCTTGGTCCTCAGGTTCTGACAGACATTCCTTCCCTTACCTGTCCAGCCTAGGCTGGGGTCTATGCTTTCCCTCAAGATGTCTTTTGCCATTTCTGTCCACACTTAATTAAGGTTCCTCAAATGACCTCACTCAAAAGCATCCCTGCTCCCTGCTCAGCCTGTCCCACACTCACAAACAGGGCTCTGGATCCATGGAACAGAACCTTGGCCTCAGACACTCTGTCTGGCTATAGATCCAGGCTTTCTACTTTTAGTCACATGACTCAGGGCAAGGATCAGCTCTTTTCCTCAGTGCTTAATGCCAAGAGGACAGCACTCTTGGTTATCAGGTTCCTATACCACCAGTCCAGATTGAAGCATCTAGAAATAATTTCAGGGATGAAACTGACTCAACAGAAAGCCTGCCTGAAACCACTTAAGACATTATCACATCTGGGACAGAATCTGCAATTAAAGTGACAAAAATGAAATGATTAGAGCTAAGAGATGACTCAGAGGTTAAGAGCACTGACTGTTCTTCCAGAGATCCTGAGTTCAATTCCCAGCAACCATGTGGTGGCTCACAACCATCTGTAATGAGATTTGGTGCCCTCTTCTGGCCTTCGGGCATACATGTTGGTAGAACACTGTACATAATAAATAATCTTAAAAAAAAAATAAAATGAAATGATTAGTCACCAGTAAAACAAAAGGACTTGTTAAACCAGAAAATTAATCATAGTATTCTCTTTTGCTCAAAGTCACAGTAACATGAATATTGTTAGTGTTTTAATTATCAGAGAGTTCATGGTCTCTCTGAACTTCGGAAGTAATGTAGGAGCAGGAGCGACCGGCTGAGAGGGATGCAGATGTGGGTGTGGGCATTGGCAATGGCCATGAGAACCACATTCCTCTTCCAGTAGGGCGAGTCTATAAGCAATGTCCAACCTAGACAATTAAAAGGGGGGCTGGGGAGATGGTTCAATCAGTAAAGTGCTTGCTGCACAAGCACAAAGACCAGAGTTTGAACCCCAGAACCCACTTATAAACAAAAAAGCTAGGGGGCTATAGAGATGGCTCCGTGGTTAAGAGCACTTGTTGCTCTTGCAGAAGACCTGGGTTCAATTCCCAGCACCCATATGGCACCTCACAACTGTCTGTAAGTCCTGTTCCAGGGAATCTGACTCCCTCTTCTGACTTTTGTCAGGCATGCATGTGGTAAACATACATACATGGAGGCAAAAAACTCAAAAGTTTTTTTTAAAAGCCAGTGAGTTGAGGTAGCACGCACCTTTAAACTCAGTAGTCAGGAAGCAGAGAGAGGCAAGAAGTTCTTGGGTGAGTTGGAGGCTAACCTGGTCTATATAGGAGTTCCAGGCCAGCTAAGGACACACAGTGAGACTCTGTCTCAACAAAAACTTAAAGATTGTATTTGGGACTGGAGAAATGGTCCAGCAGTTAAGAGCGCTTACTGTTTTTCCAGAGGACCTGAATTCAGTTCCTTCCCAGGATCCAATGCCCTCTGGCCTCAGCAAGCACTTGCACACAACTCTCTCTCTCTCTCTCTCTCTCTCTCTCTCACACACACACACACACACACACACACACACACACCCGTGTGAATAAACTCACAGAGGTACACAACACACAGAGAGATAAGAATAAATCTAAAAAAAGAAAGGCCAGGTGTGGTGACACTTGTAATCTCAGCACTAGGAGAGAGGGATGGAGACAAGACACTCCAGGGCTTCCTGACCAGCCTAGGTGAGACCATGAGGCCCAGAGAAGAGATACTGTTTATTTCATTAAGAAAGAAAACAAGTTTGCCAGCTCCTTTGGCTGACTGCTGGTATACATATGTATGTACACACACACACACACACACACAGAGAGAGAGAGAGAGAGA